AGAGCCACTTTCCTTGCTCACCCGTTTTCGTGAGTTGGTTTTTTTGGGGGGGGGGGGTAAGTCCTCACGTAAGCTGCAAAGTGGTTGCTCGCGAATTAGACTGATTAATTCGCCAACTACGATAGCGACTGCGCTTACCTGAGTACAGGCACATTACGGATTTCCCCTGCCCCGGCGGAGCATTCGCCAAATGGACCAAGCTCAGTTCAACGAGCTTCGGGAGCAGTTCAACGCTATGAACACACGCATGGCTACAGTGCTGGAGGACAACGAGCGACTTCGTGCGAAAGTTGCTGAGTTACGCCAGGCGCGAGAGGATTCGCGTCAGAAATCTGCTGCCCAAGAAGAGGTCGCCAGAACCGGACGTGTCGAAACCGTCTTGGACGAAATCGCACGTGAGGTGTCATAGGAGTGCAAGGACAGTGAAGCCGCCGCAGCAGCTGACGTGGCAGCACGAGCAACAGCCGAAGCAGCAGCAGCAGCAGCAGCGACAGCAGCAGCCGCTCGGTCAGAAGCAGCCCCTATTGTAGCCGCACCGGCATTTATGCCGATCGTGACGACAGCGACTATCAAACCGACAATGCCGCCCCCGTTCAACCCCACAGATAAGAATACTACTGTTACGGGCTGGTTATTTTCGGTGGAACTTTATTTTAATGCCGCTGGGATCACTGCTGACGATTTAAAAATTTGATTGGCTGTATCACTACTGCAGGGACCTGCGCTCGATTGGTGGCGATATACTCTACAGGAGGGGGAGTTTTCGGCAGGCGACACACAGGGGTTTTTCGGAAACTTTGGTCTGCTGCCCAAGGGTCAACCGCGATTTTTGGATCGACCAAGATTCGCACGTGGAAAGCGTGGGGTACAGCTCTGCGTGAACGGTTCGAGCCAATATCCGCCTCGGACAACGCACGCACGAAGCTGGACAACTGGCGCCAGTGGAGTTCTGTCCAGTATTACGCGTCGGTCTTCATGGCGTTATGCGATCAAATCACCGACATGCATGACTCCGAGAAGAAAGCTCGATTCATTTCGGGTCTTAAGCAGGACATAAAATGCGAGGTCCGGCTGCGACTTCCGGCGACGTTTCACGAAGCAGTCCGGATCGCAGATACTTTCGACGCACATCGGACGTATGCGAGAGCGGGTTCCTGGGAGGGAAATCGTTTTCGTGGCCAGAATCCACGGCCCACGATTCACGGCGTAGTGGCGAAGGAGCACATGGAAGATTTTCCCAAGGGACAATGTTTCAATTGCCACCAGCCGGGTCACCAATCTCACGATTGCCCCCGAAAGAAGCAGATAAAGAAGGACGACGAAGGCAGGTCGGTAAACGCCAAGCGTCAGTAGAGGTCGGACCCCCTACTGACCCTGCCTCATCGCCCGAAAAACACCATCCCCCGGGTAGTGGTTCCGATACATGCTATCAACCGCTCCCGGCTGAATAAGGGGGATGACCCAGTGGACCACCCTGTACTGGCGGAGGGACGACTCAACGGAAGAAAAATAAAAATATTCATCGACGGCGGTGCGAGTCACAGCCTGATAAATCGAGAGACAGCACGACGACTACACCTGACGCTGGAGAGGTGTCTGCCCGAAATTGATGCACGATTGGTGGACGGCACCCCGCTGGCGATACGCGACAAAGTACCTGTCGTCCGAATGAAGTGTGGCGAAGATTTTGGTTTCAGCGCGCCAATGCTGGCGACAACGCTTGACGGCTATGACGTGCTATTGGGACGCGATTGGTTGCGACGATTCAACCCGCAGATCGATTGGACAACAGGCAAGTGCACAATGAAGTGCGACAAAGGCTGGCGAAAATTACCCACGTGGCCGGAAGCAGAGACAACATCGACACGAATCAACGCGGTGTGCCTCAACCGAGCGGTCAAGAATGGAGCGGATTTATACGCCGTCCATCTAACCGAATCGACGGAGCAAAATGAGGTGACCGACATCAACAAACTCTGCACTTCGGTCCCGGATGACGTGGCGAAAATCATTCGGGAATATCCTGAGATTTTCCTGGACGATTTGCCAAGTGGACTGCCACCCGAACTACCCCATGACCACAAAATCGAGCTGGAGCCCGGCGCGCAGCCTACTGTACGCACGCAGTGGCGCCAGACTCAGCCGGAGCTACAGGAGTTACGAAACCAGCTGGACTACCTGCTGGCGAAAGGGTTCATTCGGCCGAGCACGTCACCATTCGCAGCACCAATCCTGTTCACGCCAAAAAAGGACGGCGGACTTCGCATGTGTACGGACTATCGCGCCCTTAATCGGGTAACGATAAAATCGCGCTATCCAATACCGTGCACGGACGAACTGACCGACAACCTTCGCGGAGCTCGCTATTTTCGAAGATTGACCTTCGCGGCGGTTACCATCAAATTCGGGTGTTCGCTGACGACTGCCACAAGACCGCGTTTCGTATTCGCTACGGGAGTTACGAATACACGGTGATGCCGTTTGGATTAACGAATGCCCCCTCGACGTTTCAACTCACCATGAATGGGGTGTTCCGCAATCTACTCGACAAATGCGTGATAATTTACCTGGACGACATCCTGATTTACAGCAAGACCCGAGAGCAACATTTGAAGGATTTGGAAGCGGTTTTTCAGCGGTTGCAGCAGCACCGTCTCATCACCAAGGGCTCCAAGTGCGAGTTTTTTAAACAAGAACTGGAGTTCCTGGGGCATGTGATCTCCACGGAGGGGATCCGGATAGACCCGAAAAAACTCCGGGCTATTCAGGAATGGAAACCACCAACCAATCTGCAGCAGCTGCAATCCTTTTTGGGTTTCGTGAATTACGTGCGGCGATTTATACCCAACGTGGCGGGGTTAACTGGACCTCTAACCGACCTACTGTAGAAGGGGACTTTTTACGAGTGGGGGGAGAAGCAGTAGGCTGCGTTCGAGGCATTAAAAAATCTTTCAATGTCGCCACCGGTACTTCGCATCGCTGACCCGGAACGGCCCTTCGAAGTCATCACCGACGCAAGTGACATCGCCATCGGAGCAGTGCTAATGCAGGATTTCGGCAATGGGCTTCAACCAATTGCGTACAAGTCTTGGAAAATGCAATCTGCTGAGCGCAACTACCCAGTACACGACAAGGAGATGCCGGCGATCGTCCACGCGTTCAAAATCTGGAGGTGCTACCTGACTGGAGCAGACGTGACGGTGCGAACCGATCACAAATCACTACAGTACCTGAGAGCGCAACCGAATCTCAACCCGCGACAGATACGCTGGCTGGACTACTTGGAGTCCAATTTCACGTACAATATTACGTACAAAAAAGGCACCAACAATATCGCTGACGCCCTCTCCAGACCATCTGCCCAACTCGCAGCAGTACTAGTCGCCCAGAGCAACCCGCTACTCAGTGGAATATTTACCCACGGGTGGGAATTTATCGGGACATTTCGGGGTTGATAAAACTCTGAAGGCGTTGCAGCGGTTTTATTACTGGCCAGATATGGTGACGGACGTGCAGCGTTACGTGGCCGCGTGTCCGATCTGCCAGCGAATGAAGTCATCACACCAGCGACCAACAGGACTATTGCAGCCCCTCGAGCCACCTCAACGTCCATGGCAACACATAACGATGGATTTCGTTACAGGACTACCGGTCGGACCCAGCGGAAACGACGCGGTTTTGGTTGTCGTCGACCGATTGACGAAAATGGCGCATTTCGCACCATGTCGTACAACCATCACAGCCGAAGAAACAGCGCGCCTGTTCATCTCGACCATTGTTCGCCTACACGGGATACCAGCAGCAATCATTAAGCGATCGAGATCCGAAGTTCACGTCAAAATTCTGGCAGGACACGTGGGCTCGGTACGGCACGCGTCTACAGTTCTCATCCGCGTATCATCCCCAAACGGACGGCCTAGACGGAAAGAACGAATCAAACGATGGAGCAGCTGATTCGGACAAACTGCCCCGGACCGAAAAAAAATGGGAGGACGTGCTGCCCATGTTGGAATTTTCCTACAACAACGCGCCCTCGGCTACGACTAATCACTCCCCGTTTTATCTCCAATTACGGGATGGACACTACAGTACCAGTCTCCACCAACGTTGAGAGTCAAGTACCACGATCGCAGCAGTTCGTCGAAGAATTACAGACTGCCGAGATAAAGCTGTCGAACTTATTCGCAAGGCGAACGCTTATGCCCGACGGTATGCGGATTTACATCGACGGGATATTACAATGACAACAGGGCAACTAGTCATTTTGGACACCAAGAATTTACGACTCCCACTACCGACGAAATTATGACCACATTTCTGTGGCCCATTCAAGATCATGAAGATGGTGACGCCGGTGACCGCCCAGTTGCGCCTACCTGATGACTGGCGTATTCACAACAAATTCCACGTGAGTCTGTTGCGACCCTTCGTTCCTGACACGTCGGACATCGCCCGACATCGATTGGTTCCAGATGTACGGCCACCAGCCGAGACGACCATCGAGCCTTCGAAAATCTTGAGCCATCGGATTCGTATCGACGGTCAAGGACGACACGTTGACTTTCTGATACGATGGACCAATCGTACTAGTGAGGACGACACGTGGGTGCCCTCGGACTAGATACAGTCACCTTCGATACTTGCGAATTATTTGGACCGCAAGCACGTGGCTGATATAGATCACCTTCGCTAAGGGGGGGGGTGGTGTAAGGAATTTTCCATTCCTTACCGAGCGGTACTGCTATCGCGTACGCTCGAACACACTCGAAGCCTCGGGACTGTTCCAGACTTTGCTGACAGAACCGCCTCGGCTTCTCCAGACCTTCTAGTTCGACATTCGGGGGTTCTCCGGGCCTCGCTCGTCACTTCGCGGCCCTTCGATCTCTTTCCCGAACCTTCCCATCGCATGGTTAGACTAGCTCTGGTGTTCCTATATCTTGGCTTGCCATTCCTTGTATCGTCATTTGGTGAGTGAACATTTTCGTTATTCATTTCCGCACTACTCAGCTTGTTCATTCATAACACTCGGATTGCGGAGATAACTATTTCCATTAGCTTTTTTGTGTGAAACTCGATGGTGCACGCTTAGAGGTCGGGCTTACAGTCTCCTCGTCATAGAATGGAGTCGTCTATCTTCGCGGCTCGATGACTCGTTCTTCCAGGGACCATCGCCCTGTGCTCCCTGTGCTCCCCGTGCTCCGTGTCCATGAGGCGTCAGAGTCTGCGATTGCCATGACTCGTCACGAATTGGGAGGCGTTGCAAGCGGTTACATTCCATAGGCCACAAGTTTACAGGTGAAACCACATATTACAATGGCCAGACCACACGGAGCAAATCCGGGCCATCGGTTCGTTCAGTTGCTCCTCGTATCGCAATTTTTGTTGTTACGTATCGCGAATGCTTTCGCGAGTGCAGGAGAATTCGCGCATAAAAGTTTTTCCTCAGAAAGCCCTCGATATAGGAACGGAGCCAGGCGGTTGACAACGTATGCTGACCTGATGGGCGAACGGAGGTTCTCAGACCCCGATACAGCGACACCCGCGAGTGAATCAACAGATGCCACGGTCACTCCCGCTACAGTCACATCCATTACAGACGCTGCACTCACCGGATCCATCAGTCGTAGCATCAACTCCGGTGCGGGTCTAGCTGCCCCCGCTGCAGTCACATCAACGGCCAGTGTAGGTGATTCAGGGGGTGCTGGTAGCACTAGCAGCTCAGCTTCCTCTGATACGAATTCGTCCGTTACCGATTCTTCTTCTCCCCCTCCCTCGCGGGACGCGCTCATTCCCGCTGCCCTGGAGCCCGCGTCACACATCCCACCTCCGCCCCAGGTCACCTCCGCGTCACAAGCCTCAACTCCTCCGCCCCGTGACTGAAAGCAGCAGCTCTAGTAACGAAACCGAAGCAGCGCCTACAGAGGACAGGACAGCCCACCCTGGGACTTCTGACTCGTTAGAGGGAAGATCTCCCGGCCAAAGCAGCAACAGTACAAGCGAAGCAGCACGCGGGGATGGTAACGCTCAAAACGGTCCCTCTGGCTCGACTCCAGATCCCACGGAAAGCCCTCTTCCTGGATCCGCTGCCCAAAACCTGCCCATTCCCTCCAGTGGGCTTGGGCCTAGAACCCCTGCAGCCTCTGCGAACTCGTCTGCAGGGGCTGCTGCTGGTCCCCCCCACCGCAGTCCTCCAGGCGGCTCCCAGGCAATGCGTCCTATCGCTGCAAGCGGAGATGAGTCGAAGCCGCCTCATCCTCAGGGCGCCCATGCCTCCCATGATGCCCCCTCCAGCTCTCCCGTTCAACCCCCCCACTCCGGTTTCTCGGGAGATTCTGGGGGCAGCAGCGGGAGCATGGGGAGGGAGGGAGGAGGTGCGGTGGTGTTGCGTGGGGCGAGGGGAATGCGCCTTCTGTGGCCAGGTGGTGCCGGCACTGTCCATTGACAACCAGCGGTGGTCGTGGTGAGCTGAGTGAAGATGGGGGAAGTTGGGGGGAGGATGGGGAAGGCAATGTAGGCCAGTTGGAGGGCATCTTCATCAGCCATTCGCATTCCCTCTTTCCCTCCACCTGCCATCAATTCCTCCCCGATCCGCATCCCACCCGCAACCCACCCTCTTTCCCGCCCTCCCTTCCCCACACTCTCCAGTGTGCAGCGGCGGAGCAAGCAGGAGTGCATGGGCGCCATAGTGGGCAGTCAAGCGGAGCTGGTGTCTCTCGACGCAGGGCTGGCCTTCCGGGCGTTCCTGCACGGGCGCATGAAGGCCATCATGAGCGAGCGGCTGGCCTGGGGGGAGACCTACCATGCTGTTGCCGTGGTGCGCAGGGACGTGTGTGACGTCAGTGCCGGGGGGAGGGGCGAGGAGGAGAGTGCAGGGATGGGTGGGAGTGAGGGTGTGGGAGTGGGAAATGCGGGAGGAAGTGGGGATGGGAGAGAGGGTGGGGTGGATGAGGGAGGCAGTTTGGGTAGAAGCAACAGCAGCAGCAGCAGCAGCAGCAGCAACAGCAGCAGCAACAGCAGCAGCACTGCTAGCGGCAGAGACGGCAGTGAAGCACCTAACGCCCAAGGCACAGCGCAGGGCACCGGCAAGAACAACCAGCAACGCAGGGATAACAGCAGCACCGCCACCGCCACCGCCACCGCCACGGCGCACTCTCCCACGCCATCGCTCCCCGCCCTCCCGCGCGGCCCCTGGGCCACGCTGCACCGCTTCAAGACGTGCCACCCGCTCTACGCCTCCGCTGCCGGCTGGGACCTCCCTGTGCGCGCCCTGCTGGACCTGGGGCTCGCACGAGGGCTGGGGGAGGGGGGAGTGGGGCGAAGGGGGGATCTGGAGCGAAGGGCGGAGCAGGAAAGGGAATGGGGGAAGTGGAGGGGAGGGAGTGGGCATGGGAGCGGGTTTGCTGGGAGGGGGAGTGGGGGGAGGGGTGGGGTCAGGAGGCGGTTTTGCGGCGCCCCCGTTCGTGGAGGGAGAGCCGGCGGATGTGACTCTAGTGAAGGCCGTCTTCCCTGAGTCATGCGCCCCCGGAGGGAGGGCGCACTGGGGGTAAGCACTACGGCTGGTGCAGGGGAGGCAGGAGGGAGAGGAGGGGAGGGGAGCCTAGGACGTGGGGACACGGGGAGGGTGTGCAGCGGGTGCGTGTCGGTGAACGGGAGAGGGTCATGCGACGAGGAGGACTCGTATGCGGGCTTCCACGGTGCCTTCCGGTGCCTGATGGAGCAGGCGGGCGACGTGGCGTTTCTCAGGCATGATGTGGCGCCGTGGTTTACGCGCGGAGGCAGGTTCCAGCAGCCGTGGTCGCTGCAGGCGCTGGGGGAGTTCAGGCTGCTGTGCCCGCCCATGGTGGGCGGGTGCATGGAGTTCACTGACAACCTTGACGCCACTAACTGCACGTGAGTATAGCACGCAGGCAGTGGCACCTGTTGAGGACCCCTGAAAGCCAGGAGCCGCACGTGCTGCGCCCTTGTTAGCGTTGAGACTTCTGCGCCCTCCTGCGGCTGGGATGCATGGAGTTGACGGCCAACTTGAGATGCCAATTGCGCGTGAGGGCATGCTCCACCGCCTGCACGTGGCTGCAATATGTGTGCTGGAAGTGTGCTCTGCCACAGGTCTAACAGGTTTTGCTTTGTAGTGAGACCTCTTCACGTCTTTAACTTCGTTGCTTCTCAGATCCTCCTCATGGATGCACCTGTTTCTTGTTATTCTCTCATTCTCGTTTCTCAGAGCGGTTCAAGCGGGCCATCATCGCACACGCACTTCTCAATGCCTGCTGATTGCTCACAGTTGCCCCTCCCTCCCTCCTGGCGCTTCAGTCTGGGTCGGGTGCCTGTTAAAGTGGTGATGACTTGGTCTGGTTTATTAGAATTCTCAAGAACCAACTCTGACCGCTCACAGTGGCCCTCCCTCCCTCCCCGCGCCTCAGTCTGGGTCGGGTGCCCGCCAACGTGGTGATGACGCGCAACGCCATCTCGGAGCGCTTCAAGCGCGCCATCATCGCACGCCTGGAGCTCGCCGGCACGGTGAAGGCGTGGCGGGAGGCGCTGTACGAGGGCAGCAACCCCTTCGACTATGTCCTCTCTGGAAGGTGACTCTGCACGCCATCACCTTCCTCACTCCACCTCTTTGCTTTTATTGCTTCCTCACTCCACCTCTTTGCTTTTATTGCTTCCTCACTCCACCTCTTTGCTTTTATTGCTTCCTCACTCCACCTCTTTGCTTTTATTGCTTCCTCACTCCACCTCTTTGCTTTTATTGCTTCCTCACTCCACCTCTTTGCTTTTATTGCTTCCTCACTCCACCTCTTTGCTTTTATTGCTTCCTCACTCCACCTCTTTGCTTTTATTGCTTCCTCACTCCACCTCTTTGCTTTTATTGCTTCCTCACTCCACCTCTTTGCTTTTATTGCTTCAAGTGCTAGCCGGCCCAGTCAACGCGTAGTCGAGGGCAACAACCCTTGGACCATATTTTGGACAGAACGGCAGCACAACACATGTTTCTTCACTGCACTCCACATGTTTCTTCACTGCTCTCCACATGTTTCTTCACTGCTCTCCACATGTTTCTTCACTGCTCTCCACATGTTTCTTCACTGCTCTCCACGTGTTTCTTCACTGCTCTCCACGTGTTTCTTCACTGCTCTCCACATGTTTCTTCACTGCTCTCCACATGTTTCTTCACTGCACTCCATCTATTTCCTTTAAGGCGCTTCAAAGCATGCCTGGTACGAGGGCAGCAACCCCTTCGACGACATCCTCTCTGGAGGGTGCCAGAACACCGCACTTGTTTATTCGGCGTTCCTTCATCTTCTGAAGGCGTCCGTGGTGTGTGCCATCTGAGCAATCATCGCTGCTTTCTTTGCTTCACCATCCCATGGCGTGTTTCCTTGCTGTCTCGGGAAGCACTGCCAAGGGTCTGGTGTGAGGGGAGTTGTTGACCCTTGCCGTGTCTCTCTACCAGTTTGCCTCGTCTGGTCATCACAACGCGTGCGCCTCATGTGTCTCGTGTGTCTCACGTGTCTTGTGTGCCTCGTTGTCCCGTGCAGTGCCAAGGGTCTGCTGCGAGTGGAGTCGTTGACGCGCGCGTACCTGGGCGCCATGGGGGTGGTGTCGGACGACATTCTGCGCTACAACAAGGACCACGCTCCTCCTCTGCACGGCAAAGCCACGCAAAGGCAATACTCTCATGGTAGGCAAAGGCAATCCTCTCATGGTAGGCAAAGGCAATCCTCTCATGGTAGGCAAAGGCAATCCTCTCATGGTAGGCAAAGGCAATCCTCTCATGGTAGGCAAAGGCAATCCTCTCATGGTAGGCAAAGGCAATCCTCTCATGGTAGGCAAAGGCAATCCTCTCATGGTAGGCAAAGGCAATCCTCTCATGGTAGGCAAAGGCAATCCTCTCATGGTAGGCAAAGGCAATCCTCTCATGGTAGGCAAAGGCAATCCTCTCATGGTAGGCAAAGGCAATCCTCTCATGGTAGGCAAAGGCAATCCTCTCATGGTAGGCAAAGGCAATCCTCTCATGGTAGGCAAAGGCAATCCTCTCATGGTAGGCAAAGGCAATACTCTCATGGTAGGCACATGGGTGGTTGGGCCATGATGCCATCACCTCTCACCTCCCCCCGCTCACCTCCCCCCTCGCACCTCCCGCCATCACCAGCACATTGTAGCGTCGGTTGTGCCCTCTCACCACCCTTTCCATCTGTGTCCGCTCCCTGCTCTCGCTTCCCGCCTGCTCTGCAGGTTGGGCGCATACCTTGCTGCTGACTCTGCTTGCATGCATGCTGTTCGCTTAGAGCATCTCACGGGACAGACTTTGTTGCTTTGAAGGGCCATGCTTCCTTCAATATAGTGTTTTTCCCTGTCCACAAAGTTGCTCCTGTTACCTTGCCTCTGAGGAAGTGCAACCAAGCAGGGCTGAGCGACCTGCCAAGAGGCTCATGCCAAGCACTCGTGTAGGAGCAAATGGCCTCCCACTCAGTCACCTCTGCAGCACCACCACATGCTTGCAGCACCGCCCCTCCACCTGCTTGAGCTTCCGTCGGCCTCAACGTGAGTGAGTAGACGCAAAGCACCGTGCTTCCCTGACAGTGAGGGGCACCCTTTGGCAGCACGAGCCAACCTGCCAGCAGCACTATCCACCAACCCCACATCTTCACAGCATGGCTCTCCCCACAACCACAGCCAGGCCATGCCGTACTGCATCGGCTGGTAAGGAATTGTCAAGAGACCCGCTGGGGTCGCCCTAGAAGATCCTCGGAAGGGCCACAGGCTGCTATGCCTGGTGGGCTATGGGCGCGCCGCTGACCCGCTACTTAACAAGCCCTTTTAGGACAGTGGTTAGCGGCTGTGTTTCTGAGAAGAATAACCTAGAGATGAGACGAGCTAGAGCACAGGAACTGCATGGAGAGGTGCCTTGCTGACGAATGTGACGAGCGGAAGATGCACCGTACAGCTTTGCACCCAACCACAATTTTTACTGCACTTTGGCCATCATCAGGGCCCAAAATTGGTTTTGGGCCGCCCTTTGAAATCAGGGTCACCCCACCGAAATACCCTGTGAGCAGGCCCCTAGATATCAGACTTTTTACGCTGATTCAGCCTTTTTTCAGGGTTTTGGGATAGGGTAATGCTGATTGGCTGGCCTTTTTTCAGAGGTGGACAGGCCTGCCATTATCAGGGTATTTTACCCTGATTCTGTGATTTCACAGGGTTTTTTTTTTTGCCAACCCTTAATTTTCAGGGTTGGACTTTTCTTAACCATAGCCCCTTCTGGGTTGTAAGTTTATGAACACTTATCAAACCTAGAATTGAATAATGTGAGAGAGAGAGTACACAAACATATACCTAAATGTTGTACTCTCTAGAAGGTGACCCTATACAGTCTATACAAACATGATCAATAAAACATGTTTGACACACCCCTGGACTGCATAGGGGAATGTTCTAGACAAGCAGCTCAGGGTGGCACTACTAGTCCAGCCTCTGAGACAAGGGTCTAAAAGACCAGTCAGAAGGAGTACAGACAAGGCAAGAACAAGTACAGGGCGGCACTACTAGTCCAACCACTGTGAGAGGACACAAGTCCAGTCTGAGTGTACACATATATATATAGGACAGTACAAAGTCAAGGCCCGAGTAAGTGAGAGACTACAGGAACCAGACCAAGCTGTACACAGTGCCGCTGATGATCTTTAGGCGCAAGCGCCTTCGTAAAGATATCAGCTGTGTTGGCACCGGAGGCCAAGTGTACTACGCGAGCCTGGCGACGCTGCTGTAGCTCGCGCAGGAGGAAGTACCGCAGCTGGATGTGCTTCGCTCTGCCCTCGAGTCGAGGCTCCTGACACAGGAGGATCATGGCCCTGTTGTCAGCGTACAGGACCGGGGCAGAGCTAGGCCGCTCACCTAAGTCAGTGAGCAAGAAGGTCAGCCAGCGGAGCTCCTGTGCCGCCATGGCACCGGCGTAGATCTCAGCCTCACAGCTGGACTGGGCAACAGACGAGGAGCGGGTAGCTCTCCACGAGACAGCACCTGAGCCAAGGCTAAAGCAGTAGCCCTGGGAAGACCTGAGCGTCTCGGCGTCGTCTGCCCAAGAAGCGTCTGTGTGTCCAGTAAGGACCACTGGCCTGCGTCCGCCTAGCACTAACCCCATGCCCGATGTACTTGCAAGATAACGCAAAACCCTCTTAGCGGCAGACCAGTGCTGAGGTCGGTGTCTGCCTGTGGCCACGAAACGAGCCAGGATGCTGAGAGGGTATGCGAGATCTGGGCGAGTGCAAGTCATCAGGTACATGAGGCAACCCACTAGCTCAGCGTAAGGACCACTGGGATCTACCGACTCCTCAGGAACTGGAGCGGAGAGTCTGTGGTCCAGAGGAAGAGGGGTGGGCTGTGCGGAGGAGAACTGAAGGCCGAACCTCTGAAGGACCTGGCGCACCAAGTGTGACTGAGTCAGGGTGATGGTGCGCGCGGCTCTGTCCCTGGAGATCTGCAAGCCAAGGTAACGGCGCAGCTCTCCAAGGTCAGTGCAGGTGTGTCTCTTCAGCAGCTCTGCCTTCACGGAGGCCAGTGCGTCCCTGTCAGCTGTGGCAAAGACCAGGTCGTCTACGTAGACGAGGATGTAGAACGGAGTCGAGCCAGCACGAACGAAGAGCGAGGGGTCTGCAGAGGACGGAAAGAACTGCAGGTCAGCAAGGTAGCACGCAGCGTGTCGTGCCACTCACGAGGCGCCTGGCGCAGGCCGTAGACTGGCGCCGCAGAAGCCACTGGGTCCCAGGGGGGAAGGTGCCAGTAAAGCCCTGAGGACGACGCAGGTAGACCTGCTCGTGAAGGCTGCCCTGAAGAAAGGCAGTGGAGAAGTCGAGGGAGTGAAGCTCGTAGTCACGCTGAGCCGCTACGTGTAGCAGAACCCGAAGAGTAGTCATCTTCGGGTAGGAGCGAAAGTCTGAAAGAAGTCCACCCCCTCGCGCTGACTGAAGCCTCTAGCCACGTACGCGCCTTGAACACAGGCGGCTCTCCAGGAGGGCGCTTCACCTTGAAGAGCCAACGGCCATCGACCACGTTCACCCCAGGTGGGGGAACTGCGTCGACGAAGGTGCCGGTGGATCTCCAAGATGCCATCTCCTGCTCCATGGCAGCTATCCACTGAGAGGCCCAGGTCCCGAAACCGCCTCAGCGTAAGTACGAGGGGTCGGGATGTCGAAAGCGTCTGGGTCACCCTCAGGGACTAGCAGCATGGAACAGAGATGGGGAGCAGCCTCGGACAGGAAAGCAAGCTCAAACTGGCGGTCCTCCAGGACGTCACTGCCGAGGGCAGGAGCACCCCCGACAGACGGAGGACAGGCAGGGTCAGAGACCAGAGCGGGCGTAGTCAAGGCGGCGGGTAGAGGCGAAGTCAGCGACCGCAGCGACAAGGGCGTCAAGACTCGACACTGGAACAGACGGGTCGGTAACGAGAGAGGCAAGGACCCGAGGAACAAGAGGACGAGCGGCACGAAAGTAGTCAGACAGAGGAGGAGACGCAACGACAAGAGAGGACGGAGGAGGAGACGGGAGGAGGGGACGAGACGCGTGGGAGCGGAGCAACATAGGGTGAGAGCGCGGGACGGGGGAGACAGGACGAGCACGGGAGGGGCGGCGAGACCAGACGTGAGGGGGCGTCGGGTCAGGAGACAGAGGAGGGGACACGTGGGGGAACGAGGGGGAAAACGAGCCGGGGACGAGTCCGGCGGAGGGAACACGGGGCCGTAGACGGGAAGAGGGGAGACGGCAGGGAGGAACAGGCGCAGGGTCAGGGGACGGAAGGCCGAGCAGACGGAGGGCGGACACCGGCGGGGACTGCTGCTGCGGCGACACAACACCAACGCCAGGGCCACAAGCTGCGCGACGGCTACCTCCCGAACCCTCCACACCGGCACCCCCAGAAGGGACACCCCCAGAGCCCGAAACCCGCCAGCACCGGTACCACCCCCAGGCCCGCCGGGACAAGCCACGACAGGAGCCCCGGGACTAGTACCCACCTCAACGCCAGCACCCCCAGAGTCCACAAACAGCGGCAGCGACGACGCGGCGGCGGCGGCGGCGGCTGCAGCGACGGCCTCGACGGCGGCGGCGGCGGACGACGGCTGCAGCAGCTGCGGCGACGGCGGCTGCGGAGGCGGTGGAGGAGGAGACACCGGGGGAGGGACAGACGGCGAGGACTGCGCCGGAGGACTACCAGAGTCAGAAGACTCGTCGACCGGAACGACCGACGGGAGGGGGGTGACGTGAGACACACCAGAGGGGGCCGGACGGGGGGGCGGGGGGGAGGGGCAGGGACCACCGGGGAAGGAGGGACCAGGAACAGGGGGGAGTAACCGGGGGACCACGGTGGGAAGCGGCGGTAGAAGGAGACGGACTCGTCAAAGGTGACGTCGCGAGAGTGAAAAACGGTGAGACGGCGGGTGGTAGAAGTGCCAGTCGGACGCGTCAAGGGGGAAACCGAGGAAGACGCAGGGGAGGGTGCGGGCAGTGAGCTTGTCCGTGCCAGAGGCACGAACGTGAGCAAGGCAGCCCCAGACGTGGAACGCAGACGCGTCACCAGGGGACCCGGTCCACAGAAGGGTCGGCGAAACCTGCGGCCGCTGGGGGTGCGGCCACAGGTTAAGCTGGTGAGCGGCGTAGCGCACGGCGAACGGCCACAGAAAATGGGGTGCACCGGCGTGGATCATGGAGGTGCGAGCCACCTCCATGACCAAACCGATGCGTCGCTCAGCGACCCCATTCTGCTGCGGGGAGTCCGGCAGGGTAAACGTCTGGGTGATGCCCTCCGCACGACAGAAGCGACCAAGGACACCTGAGGCAAACTCGCCACCCCGGTCGGAGTGGAGGCGCAAGGCAGGGAGACCGCGGTGGACACGAGCAGAGACAAGCCAGGGGATGAGAACGTCAGGCACGTCGGCCTTCCGCTCCAGGGGAAAGACGGTGGTGTAGCGCGTGAAGTCGTCGACAAGCACTAGGAAGAAGCGCTCGCGACGCGGCCCATGGACCGGGGCTGGGCCCCAGACGTCCATGTGCAGAGTCTGCAGGGTGCGGTGGTAGGGGGAAAGAGGAGGAGTGAGGGGCACGGCGGAGCCGGCCCTCGACACAAGGCGTGCACGGGGGGCGGGGGAGGAGGGAAACTCGGGGAACGAACCGGGGAGACCAAGGACGAGACCGTGCTGGGACATGTGACGCAGACGCGGGAGTGCAGGGTGACCAAGGCGGTGGTGCCAAAGGAGAGTCGGGTGAGTGAGGGACCGACAGGAGCACGCAGCAGCAACCTGGGTGGACGCAGACCTGGGGGGAAGACCCAGCCGGGGAAGTCGCGGTGTCAAGTGTGAACAGGCCGGACACCGGGTCCCGGGGGAAAGTGGTAAGGGGGCACCAGTGGCGGCCTCGGTACAGACAGCATACCGCTCGTGACCAGGGAACGTAGTGGTGACGCCAAGGTCCTGGAGGCAGCCGACACCAACTAGGTTCCTGGAGAACGAGGGGATATGCAGACCTGTGAGCGAACCTGAAGGAACCGCCGGACAGGGAAGGGAGGTGGAACTGCGGGCAACGACGGGACCACCGGAGGGGTCAGCAAGAGTAACTGCAGCGGGAACAGGCAGCGGCGTCAGCGTCGTGGAGTCGCGGAAGAAACACCGGGAGGCGCCAGAGTCCAAGGTGAAGGAAAGCGCAGCAGTCGCGCGAGGCGGCAGTGAAGCGGTGGAAGCACCGAGGCTAAGCAAAGCAGGAGATCCTACGCCTGACGCAGCAGGGGAGACTACGATAGGCACATCTACTCTAGGCAACACAGGGTATAAGAGGGAAGCACACTAGAGTCATCAGCATACATCACATGCAAGGCTGCTACAATGGCATCCATGTCCAAGTCAAAAATCCGAATGCTACGCCTAAGCAAGCTGTGCCAGTCCGGGAGGTCGGGCGCGGGCCAAAGCGCTGACGGAACAGGTCGTCCAGACGACGAAAACAGCGAGGAGTGGAATGACCGATCTTACCGCAAACGAAACCGCGGCGAGGACCGGTCTGGATCTGGTACTGACAGGGCCCGCCTCCAGAACCACCACCCGGTGCACCACCACGCGCACGACCACCACCAGCTCCAGGCCACCCAGGCGGGAGAGCACTCGCCGGCCTCGTCTGCCGGCGGCTGCTGCGGCTGCTGCGGAGGCTGCGGCTGCTGCGACTGCTGCTGCTGCTGCTGCTGCGACTGTGGATGGCAGCGGGGCAGCTGGACTGGGCAGGGTCCCCACGTCCGCACCGGCACCAGACGACCCGACTCCACCACCACCCCCACCCGCACCCCCGCAGCCTCCGCCGCTCCCAACCTTGGGGCGGCGGCCCTTCCCCGAGCGGGACTGCACTGCAGCAGCAGTCTCAGCCACAGCGACAGAGCCGTCGGAGAAGGTACACTGAGCGGGGGCACAACCCTGAAAGATAGGGACCGGTACTGTACCGCTCGCCTGGGCTATGGAGCGGTGACGAGTCTCTATGGCAGTCAGGGTGTCAACAAAGTCAGTGAGGGTGAGAGCAGCAGGGTGGATGCTAAGGAACTGGTCGCGGGCGGCGGCAAGGCGGTCAGGGAGGCGGGTGGCAAGGAGGTAGAGGGTAGAGGTCATGGGAGGCTGGTGGACTCTAAGCTGTGCATCAGTGCAGGCAGCGCGCCAGGTCTCATCGATCGAGCGCAGGTGGGCAGCAAGGTCAGAGACAGTGGGGAAAGACGCAAGGTCAGGAAAGAGCAGGGGGAGGATCAGGCGACCCACTGAGGCAGCAGGAGGGGTAGAATAGCGCTTGATGACAGCATCGAGGTAGGCCTGGGCCGGTAGTAATGGTTTTAAAGCGAGGGCGCTCAGGGGGGGGAGGGCATTGCTAATGGCGAGCTGAGCAAGGGCATCGCGGGAAAGCCAGACAGAGCGGGCAAGGGCAGCGGCGGCAGTGGACTCGCGCTCAGCGGGCGTGGGATCAGCGGGCAGCACAGCAGGGGGGTCAGGGCAGGGGAGCATACCGTCTAGGTGGGCAGAAAGCGGGTGGCCGTCTGCCGCTGACCAGTGAGGGTGGCGGCGAAGGTCAGCCAACCACGCCTCGAACTCCAGAGGCTGACCCTCAGCATCAAAACGAAGCTCAGCAGCCATCAGGGGCAGTGTAGGACGGTGGAGTGCGGTGTAGTGCTGTGCAGTGCGGTGCAGGGCGGTGCAGTGCGGTGCAGTGCGATGCAGTGCGGTGCAGTGCGGTCCAGTGAGGTGCAATGCGGTGCAAGGCGGGGCAGGGAAGTGCAGGAGGGTGCAAAGCGGTGCGGGGAACGGGGGACAGTACCAGGAAGTATGTAGGGCCGGGGCAGGCGCGACGGGACGGGCAGGCGCGACGGGGCCGGGCAGGCGCGACGGGGCCGGGCAGGCGCGACGAGGGGCCAGGCAGACGCGACGGGCCGGGCGGCTGCGACGGGGCCGGGCGGCTGCGACGGGGCCGGCGCTGCGACGGGGCCGGGCGGCAGCGACGGGCCGGGCGGGCGTGACGGGGCCGGGCGGGTGCGACAGGGGCCGGCGGCTGCGACAGGGGCCGGGCGGGCGCCACGGGGCCGAGCGGCTGCGACGGGGCCGAGCTGGGGCGACGGGGCCGAGCAGGTGTGACGGGGCCCAGGAGGGGCGCGACGGGGCCCAGGAGGGGCACGACAGGGCACTGGAGGGGCGCGATGGGGCCCAGGAGGGGCGCTACGGGGCCCAGGGAGGAGGGCGGCAGGGCCTAGGAGGGCGTTAAGGGGGCCCAGGAGGGGCGCGACGGGGGGGGGGGGGGGGGCCTAGGAGGGCGCGACGGGGGCCCAGGGAGGGGCGCGACCGAGCCCAGAAGGGGCGCGACAAAGCCCAGAAGGGGCGCTACGAAGCCCTGGAAGGGGCGCGACGGGGCCTGGAGGGGCGCTACGAAGCCTTGGAAGGGGCGCGACGGGGCCTGGGAGGAGCGCGACGGGGCCGGGAAGGAGCGCGACGGGGCCTGGAAGGAGCGCGACGGGGCCTGGAGGGGCGCTACGATGACCTGGAAGGGGCGCGACGAGGCCTGAGAGGAGCACAACGGGCTAGGGGGGGGAGTCGCGACTGGGCTCAGGAGGGCGAGGCTAGGCTAGGAGACGCGACGGGAGGAGCGGAAGCGGTAGGTGGGGGGGGGGGGGGGGGGGAGGGGGGGTCGAAACCTACGCGTGATACCATCTTAGAAACTAGAATTGAATAATCATAGAGTTAGAGAGTACATGCACATATACCTAAATATTGTACCTCTAGGAGGTTACCCTATACAATCTATACAAACATGATCAATAAACATGTTTGACAAGCCGACACCAACAAGATTTCGGGAGAACGAGGGGATGTGCAGGCCTGTAAGAGAGCCCGAAGGAACTGCCGGACAGGGGAGAGTGGTGGAACTACAGGCGACTACCGGACCTGAGGAAGGGTCTGCAAGGGTAACTGCGGCAAAGACGGCAAGCGGCGAAAGCATTGTGGGGTCTCAAAAGAAACACCGAGACATGCCAGAGTCGAGAGTGAAGGAGAGCGCGGCAGTGGCGGCTGGGGGCGGAGGAGCTAGGGTGGATCCAAGGCTAAACAAAGCAAAGGGTCCTACACTTGACACAGCAGAAGAACCTAAACTAGGCACACTGGACACACTGCCACTAGGCAACATGGGGTAATAGGAACCAATCACACTAGAGTCATCGATATACAGCACATACAATGCAAAGCTGATCTCATCCATGTCCATGTCAAAGATCCTAACACCACGGTGGAGCCGACTGTGCCGGTTAGGGAGGTCCGGCGCGGGGCCGAAGCGGAAACGAAACAGGTCGTTTAGGCAATTGAAACAGCGAGTAGGGGTATGACCGGTCTTACCGTACACGAGGCCGCGGCGAGGACCGGTCTGGAGCTGGTACTGACAGCGGCCGTCACTCGCACCACCATTCGACGACGAGCTACGCGCATGACCACCTCGACCACCACCACCACCACCAGCGCCAGGCCACCCAGGCGGGAGGCGGCCGACCCTCCGCTGCGACTGCTGCTGCTGCTGCTGTTGCTGCAGCTGGTCGAGCTGTGGCGCTTGCTGCTGCTCCCGCTAGGGCCGCTGCTCCGAGGCACCAGCCCCAGCTCCCTCATCGGTACTACCGCCAGCGGATGAACCACCTCCACCACCACCTCCACCCCCTCCTCCATCACCACAGCCGAGCCCAGCCTTGGGGCGGCGGGCCTTACCATAACGAGACTGCGCTACGACCACCGCGGCAGCAGTCTCAACAGCAGGGCCTGTCTCAGCGACAGCCGCAGAACCGTCAGAGTAAGTGCACTGAGCGGGGGCACAACCCTGAAAGTTAGGGACCGGCCCAGTACCGTTAGACTGTGCGATAGAGAGCTGGCGTGTCTCTATGGCAGACAGGGTGTCGACAAAGTCAGAGAGGGTGAGGTCAGTGGGGTGGAGACTAAGAAAGTGGTCGCGGGCAATGGAAAGGCGGTCAGGGAGGCGGGTGGCAAGCATGTAAAGGGTAGAGCAGATAGGGGGCTGGAACACACGAAGCTGGGCCTCAGTGCAGGAAGCGCGCCATCTAGCATCGAGCGTGCGCTGGTGCGTGGCCAACTCAGCAACAGTGGGGAAAGACGCGGGATCAGGCGGCCAACAGAGGCAGAGGACGGGGTGGAATAACGCTCGACAACAGCCTCTAAGAACTCCTGCGCAGTCCTGACTAACTTAAAGCGGGGGTGCTCAGACAGGGGGAGGGCATGGCTAATCGCGAGCTGAGCGACAGCGTCACGCGACAGCCAGACAGCACGGGCAAGGGCAGCAGCGGCGGCGGACTCACGGTCAGCAGACGTGGGGTCAGCGGGGAGAGCAACAGGGGGGTCAGGGCAGGGGAGCGTACCGTTAATGTGGACGGCCAGGGAGTGGCCGTCCTACCGCTGACCAGTGAGGTGACGGCGGAGGTCGACGAGCCATGAGTCGAACTCAACCGACTGACCCTCCGCATCAAAGCGCAGCACCAAGTCCGCCATGAAGGCCGCTGCAATCGCGAGCAGGCGGTGAAGGGCGGGATGGTGCGACGAGGAGCAGTAGGGAGGAGTGCTGTACAGTGCAGTGAGGTGGGGCGCCGTGCAGTGCGGTGCCACGCAGTGCAGAGCGGTGCAGTGCGATGGGGCGCGGTGCAGTGAGGTGGGGCGCGGTGCAGTGAGGTGGGGCATGGTGCAGTGCGGTGGGGCGCGGTGCAGTGCAGTGCTGAGCAGTGTAGCATGGTGGGGCGCGGTGCAGGACGGTGGAGAGGGCCGGTGAAGTGGGCGGGGACCGGGAGACACGGCGGCTGAGCAGCTGGGAGACGGGGCCGCGGGGCGGCTGGGCGACGGGGCCGCGGAGCAGCGGGGCGATGGGTCCCGGGGCGGCTGGGCGACGGGGCCGCGAAGCAGCAGGACGACGAGGCCGCGGGGCGGCTGGGCGACGGGGTCGCGGAGCAGCGAGGCGATGGGGCCGCGTGGCGGCTGGACGACGAGTCCGCGGGGCGGCCGGGCGACGGGGCCACGGGGCGGCTGGGCGGCTACGCTAGGGGCGACGCGGCCGCGGGGCCAGCAGGGCGGCTAGGCGCTGGGTGACGGGGCGACGGGGCCACGGGCGGCTAGGCGCTAGGTGACAGGGCCGCGGGGCCAGCGGGGTGGCTAAGCGCTAGGTGGTGGGGCAATGGGGCCACGGGCGGGGAGGCGCTAGGTGACGGGGCCAGCGGGGCCACGGGTGGCGAGGCGCTAGGTGACAGGGCTGCGGGGCCAGTGGGGCGGCTAGGCGCGGGTGGGTGGGGGGGACCTAACCTATCCATGATATCATCTTAGAGTTAGAAGTGTCGACTAGAATGAGAGCATACATGGGTATATAGCTAGTGGGTTGTACTCTCTATGGCAAGACCCTATGTAGTCTACTAAACATACACAAATATGTTTGATAAGTTAGGCTCCATATATATCCACCTTCCCCAGGGAAAGCCTCCCCAGTACCCTCCCTAGAGAGAGAGAGAGGATCGACACATAGCACATTCTGTTTCCCCAGCTCTGGCTGTTGGCAAGCAAAGCAAAACATTGTAGCAAAGTCATGGGTGGTAACAAGGCTGGGTATAATCTGGAGAATGCAGAAGTCTATGATTTATAACTTCATAAGGGACAATCAAGCTCTCCTCCAAGATACCCTTATTGATGTCCCGTCTAGCTCGCCTCGCCTCGCCTTGCATCGTCACCACTCAAGAGGCACTGCAGCATGACAGGTGGGTAGGGTAGATAGATATGCACCACAGCCTCGATGCTGGCCACTAGTACCACCACGGTGTGAGTGATACCATATCAGTGTTGGGAGCAGCTCCTGCTGCTCTTTATTGAGAAGGAGGCTGCCGTACGCTGCATGAGCAGGCATGGTATTTCCGCAGCTCCGCATGGCAACGCCCACTCACACTCCCTGGGTTCTCTTGCTCGCCGCCGCTACTCCATCTCCTTCTCCCTGTCAACCGTGCACCAACTGATCTCTGCTACAATACAGCTCAGGACACTGACACCGTTGCGCGTGGCCCCTTCCTTACCAACCCATGGGTTAGGGTGGTCGCGATTACACCTTTCTCCATCCACCCTTTCTGGTAGAGAAACTGCACTGCCAGCACCTACCACACCACATGGGCAGCCATGTCTTCGTCTTCCTCACCTAACCTAACTAATCCAACCTTCTCCATCCGCCTCATTTGTGGAGAGGCTGAACGGCCAGCACCGACCGCACCGCGTGACCAAACTGGTCCTTCCACATCAGACTCCCAAACTGGAAAGCAGGAGATGCTGTTGCGACCGTGAACCGGAGCAAACATGGTGTCATCCCCACGGGAGTAACTGTGAACCTTTTCCATCCACCTTACTTGTAGAGAGCCTGCACCGCCAGCACCGACTTCACCACATGGCCGCGAGCATGTTATCACACATTGGCGGACCTGTGAACATCCACCTCACTTGTAGAGAGGTTGAACCGCCAGCACCGACTGCACCGCGTGACCGAACTGGTCCTTCCACGTCAGACTTCCAAACTGGAAATCAGGTGATGCCGTTGCTACCGTGAACCGAAGCGAGAATGTTACCGTCCCCATCGGTTGAATCGTAAACCTGTTGGGACTTATAGCCGTAATAATACCAGGCGGTGTAACAATAGTAGCGGTGTAGTTCGATACTGTATTCGCGATGTTCTGCACCCGTCGCGTCACCAGCACCGTTTTGTTCAGCCGTGAAACCGAAATCGTTGGGCGGTTCAAATTGTATGCCGGAAACGGGGACAGCTTCGTCCCCATTGGCACAACCGTCTTGGTGGTTGCCAAATTCTGCCCGGCAAGGAAATTGTAGAAATCTGTCGCAGTGGCGGGAAATGTGAGCCCCGGGTCCATAAGACCCTTGGGATTGACATGGCCTGATCCCATATCCCACGGCGTCGCCACCCCGCCAGTCGCATCCGTTAAAATCTTCCCATTTTTGTTAGTAGTCACATTCGCTGTAGTCATAATCGCCGACATAACTTGCGATGGGGTCCACGCAGGGTATCTCTCGACGAGTAACGCTGCAATTCCAGCTAAGTGCGGTGTAGCCATGGAGGTTCCGCTCAGCATGGCGAAAGTCGGGGTCGAAGCAGACGCAAGAGAAGAAGATCGCACAGCAGCCCATAGTGAAACGCCGGGACCGATTATATCGGGTTTTAAGATGTCGTTGGTGGGGAAGGAGAGCCTGTTTGCAGCCGAGGGGTTGTTGACCGGACCGGCGGACGAGAAGTAAGCGACTTCGGGGGCTTGATCGGAGGTTAGGTCGGTCTTGAATGTATACGCGAGGGATGCAGTAGGGCTGGTGGCGGGGGAAGGGAAAGTGAGGGGGGGGGAGAAGGAGGAGATTAGTGAGTTGAAGGAAAAAGGGTAGTAAGCGATTTCAGGGGCTAGATCGGAGGTTGAGTCGGTCTTGAAAATATACGCGAGGGACGCAGTAGGGCTGGTGGTTGGGGGAGGGGATGTGGAGAAGGGGTATAGAGAGGGAGGAGACTCCAGGGCCTTGATCCGAGGTTAGGTCGGTCTTAAATGTATACGCGAGGGATGCAGTAGGGCTGGTGGTGGTGGTGGGGTGGGATGGGGGAGAGGGGGAGAGGGGTATAGAGAGGGAGGGGACTCTTCAAGTTGACTGACAAAAGGGAAGGGGAGAAAGGGCAAAAGGGAAGGGGAGTAACGGCCTCCCAGATGCACCTGATCGGAGGTACATCCACCACGATGACAGCAACAGCTGATTTTCTAGTCGATTCAAAACGTGAGTTTTGAGTCGACTAACAAATCACCCAGGTGTGCCTGATCGGAGGTACATCCACCACGATGACGGCAACAGCTGCCAGCATGCCATGGACACAGTACCATGCATGCACGGGTTGCTCACCTGACCATGGTGCGGGTGTACATGCGCAGAATACTCGTTTCAGCCGCCTCAGCTCCCATAACTGGCAGCCGGCTCTCATAAGTCGGGTACGGCCGGGTTGCCACTGGCACATCTAGTGCAATAACAAACAGCCGTGCTTGTTGCTCACCTGACCATGATGCGGGTATACATTCGAACGATGCTCGTCTCAGCCGTCTCTGCTCCCATCACCGGCAGCCGCATCTCATTGATCGGGTACGGCCGGGCTGCCATTGGCACGTCTAATGCAATAACAAACAAGCCGTGCTTGTTGCTCACCTGACCATGACGCGGGTATACATTCGAAGGATGCTCGTTTCAGCCGCCTCTGCTCCCATCACCGGCAGCCGGCTCTCATAGATCGGGTACGGCCGGGCTGCTGCTGGCACGTCCACCACGATGACCGCCTTGCCGCCTTTACTCGCCACCCTCGGCCACCTTGCTGGAGGTGCTGGTCCACCCGTACGAGCAGAGGACGATCTTGTTAGCAATCTTGGTGGCGTTGAGTGAACCCTCAAAGCAGTACTGGCCCTGGATGATGACAAAGGTGAGGGGGGAGAGGCAGGAGGAGAAGGATGATTGGAATCGGGGCATCAAATACTGGGTACGGCTGGGCTGCTGCCGGCACAGCCACCACAATGACAGCCCTGCCGCCTTTGCTCACCACTTCGGCCGCCTTGCTGGTCATGCTGGTCCACCCATAGGAGCAGAGAGACAATTTTTACCACCGATCTCTGTTGCGTTCAACTAGCCTTCAAAGCAGCAACTCACCTCGGTTTCGCTCTTCCCTGCGGCCCGCACCATGATCCCGTCCACCAACCCCAGCCTCTGCACCGCCACGTTTCCCGAGCCAAAGCCGTAGAGCGTGACGACCCGGCCGTCGCCCAGAGTGGCTGAAGACACATAACGGCGCGCTATGGTGCTGTGAGGACGAGAAAGGGGGGCGGAGAGGGGAGGAAAAGGGGGAAAGGGGGGCGGAGAGGGGAGGAAAGGGGGGAAGGGGGGGCGGGGAAGGGTGAGAAGGTGTTGGGTGGTGGGAGCCAAAGCTGTAGAGCGTGATGACCCGGCCGTTCCCAAGGGTGGCTGACGACACGTGACGGCGGGCGATGGTGCTGTGAGGACGGGAACGAAGGGAAGGGGGGTTGGGGACGGGTGAGGGGGTGTTGGGTGTTGGGTGGTGACAGAGGGCGATGGTGCTGCATGGACGAGAAAAGGAGGAGACGGGAGGAGAAGAGGGAGGGCCAACACAACACTAACTAAAACTTATCTGGCGCCAACAGCAAAACCACCTGAGGGCTCACCAGGCGCCAACAGTGAGGAAGAGCAGCAGTGAGCAGTTGGAGACGCTCCGATACAATGACGAGCTATATGAAGGCCTTTCAAGAAGACTCGAATGGCTCACCGGACGCCAACAGAAAACCACCTGAGAGCTCACCTGGCGCCAACAGTCAGGTAGAACGGCGAGAAGTTCGAGATGCTCCGATACAATGACGAGCTGTAAGGCGGCGGGCCGGAGTTCCCCGCCGCATACACCACCACTGTGCCGGCCAGATTCGCGTATAAATAGGGCAGGTCACTAAAATAAGTGGCACTGGGATCGGCGCCACCCAGGGAGAGAGAGATGACGTCGACGCCATCAGCGACAGCGGCGTTGACAGCTGCCTCCACGTCAGCATACGTGGCAGTGGTCCCGCCTGAGTTGGCGTTGCCCCAGAAGACCTTGTAGGCGGCGAGGAAGGCTCGGGGCGCCATGCCTGTTGCGTTGCCCACGGTTGTTTTCCTGGGAGGCAGTACCATGGGCACGTTGCTGTTGCCTGCTGCTGCTCTGCAGATTGGGAGGACGGGAGATGGGAGCACGAGCGTGGAAACACAAGGATAGCGGGTTTGCTTTCCGTGTTGCGAGCTGCCGCTCTGCAGATCGGAGGGGAGGTGGGGGTGCCGACATTTACCTTTCAAGACACGGTACAATAGACACAAGTCCTTGGGGATGGAAAGGGAGAGACAAGAGAGCCGGGAGGGGGGGGGAGGAGGAGAAGGGAGGGGGGAAAGGGAGAGGGGAGAGAGAGAGAGCGTCGATCACTTACGCTGCACACCAGGACCCGTGTCCGTCCGCATCACGAGCCGACGCCCAATCAGCCCGCAAGTTTTCCTGCCCGAACCACGTCCGGAACCCGGCGTTGAAAAACTTTGCTCCGATGACCTTCCGGTTGCACTTAAAATCGGCTGTCGCCTGACATGCGCCTTTCCACGTGGGCGGAGGGTTAGGGTATGTTACAGTCACATTTGAGGAAAATGACGGGTGTTCCGGCCAAATACCCGTGTCGACAATTCCCACCACCACGCCCTCTCCCGCCCGGTCGCGGCCCCGGGCAGACCAGAGGGTTTCGGGCAGGGCCAAAAAGTTTGCCGAGTCTGTGGTGAGCTTGCTGATTTGGTAGTTGGGTTTGATTTCGGCCACTGCTGGGTGCCGCTTCAGCTGCTGCAGCTGCTTAGGTGTCAAACGCGCCACGAAGGCATTGCTGACGTGTTTGAATCTGGATTGGAGGGGAGAAAGGGGGTGGAGGTAGTGGCGGGAAAGGGTATTGAGCGGGTAGGTTCAAAAGGTGGGGGGTAACCAAGTAGGAAGAACAGAGTATTAAAAAAGGAGGCACAATAAATTTACAAATCAACAATTACTTCGTTACAAACTCACTTGTACAGTACATTCGCGCGCGGCAGGCGAACATCATTCGCAACTCGGTCCTGCAGCTGATCCAACCACTGCTTGAACCGAGCGACGGCTGGCGACCCCAGGTTCAGTCGCGACGATTGGCGATTCGCCCTGCGACGCCCCCTGCGAATCCGGCCAGCCACAGAGTTGATGACGTCAGATATTGAATCTCTGACAGCTTCTGCTGCCGTGGCGGGAATACCGTTGATTCCGCCGGTGTATCCCGCGATTGGCGGGGCGGCGCGGAGGCGGACGATGTACACGTCAGATGCGGGGGAGGGGATTGCCTTGTCGACGGGGGGATCCAGCAGCGGAATTTCCGGCGGTTTTTCCGTTGAATTGAAGGTCGGTACATTGGAGGAGTCTCCTGGCGTTTCAGGAATCGGCCCAGGTGCGGATTCGGGTGCCGTCTCAGGTGCCATTTCAGGTGCCGTTTCAGGTGTTGTTTCTGTCGGAGTCTCAGGTGGATTTCCAGGTGTGGGCGGCTGAGAGGCTTCCGGATTCCAGGAGGGGTCCTCTTGCGATGGCTGCTGGGGCTCCAAGACGATCCCTGATTGCTCAGCTGCAAAAACGAGACGCATGCATCGAGTCAGGAGGAGGCGTTTATAAGCTTTGAGGCACAGCTGACGACCACAGGGCACAGGCATTGTGCGACAGTAGGCGTATATTGTCATAGTACGTCGCCGAGGTTGAAGCTGCGACCACTGCTCTCTCACCTTCCTGTCCGAAGACGCTTGTAGCGAGGATAAGCAACGCAAGCATGCAAGCTATGCTGCCCCGGCGTGACTGGGCAGCGGCGTGACATGAACGATTCGCCATCGGACGACGCGTTACGGAGGGGGAAACTACTACTTTCCGTACAAGTGGTTCCAACGTCAGCTTGCGGGATCTTGCGGGATCTTGCGGGATATTTGGGGATCTTGGGGGATTGTCAACCGCCGAATTCAAAAAGATCCTTCTACTATGGCCAGGGTATGCACGGCAATGGCTGGACTATGCCGGAGGGAGCTTGCTCAATATTACAAGCTGAGGGTACTGTCCATGTCTTAGACTCGCTTAGGCGAAACGAAGGACGTCTGACCAGAACGTATGCGACCAGAACGTATGCGACCAGAACGTATGCGACCAGGTACTGATTTACGAAAACCAGAAAAAGCCGCCTCCGCGCGACGCAAGCCGCTGAGGGAAGGCTGTATTAGGGTTTGGCTGGCGGGTCTCTTTGGGAAGTATCGCAACCTAGCACTAGGCAATGTTGAAATTGTGCGGGAGATTTCGCCCCTTTGCTTGCGTCGCCGCCAATGACGTGTATCGTTGCTTCCGATGCGCACTCGTATTAGCGAGTCGTGCATATTGACGCTGATTGCCTTTGCGCCGCTAAGAGGCACGCGCCTGCCTGAGGACGCGCAGAATCAGCCAGCCTAGCTGCGAGCTTTAGCAAACTAAGCTCCCGCGCCAAACTTCAGCGGCAAACTTCTGCGCCCGTGCTTCCAGGCGGAACCTCTCCTGCCTAGTTGCAGCCTATTGAGACTATCTCGGCTGGCGCTAACTAGGAGTACAATAGTGGCGCCGAACCGAGGCGCAGATGAGAAGCGCAAACTTTGCGGGTGTGAGGCGGGGCGGGGGGGGGGATGGGGGTGGAGAATTCCCCCCACTTTTTCCCCACCTCCCCCAAATTTCTCGAGTCCACCTCCCCCGCCCTGCCCGCGCGCACCCCTCGTGCATCCTCTCACACATCCACTCTCGCACCGCGGGCATCACAGAGCCACTTGCTGCCCTTGGCCTACCTCATGGGGACTGTGGTGTGGTGAATGAGTGAGCAAGCGAAACGATCTGGTTCTGTGGCGAACGTCGTCCGAATCCTCCTGGTCATCGTCGGTACTTCGCAAACTAGCTGGCAACCATATGGGGCTTATTGACGGTGAAGAATGAGGAACTGCCCATCAATCGAACCGTATATGAGCATCGCAAAATCACCTGGCCACGTCGACCTCATCCAGCTAGCCAGCCAGGCGCACCCGGGTCCACGCATAATAAGTATAGGGAAGTACACCTCTTTTACAATCTAATAAATATGCTGAATAGCTGTACTATAGGTGTACAACAATTCACGTTTATTGAAACTACAATAAAAAATAGCTATTAAAATCAGGGTAGCCAAAACATTTTACCCCGGCTATTAGTGCTGCAGGGCTAGTGGAAGGGGGCGGTTTCTGCAGCGGTCTATTGTAGTCCCACCTGTTTGTACAGTTCATACCCGTGCCCACCCGTGCCACTTAGTTCCTCAGTGCCTGCTGCTCTTGTACATCTCAAAAAGCAGCTTTGAATAGTCTCAATATCAACACACACATACACTCTCAAAAGCATGCATACGTGCATCTCATGCACCCTTGTTACGTACGGTAAGTACATGCCGTAACCGCTGCTGTACTAGGAATGTCGCATGCGTCAAAGGCACACCCAACATTTCACGTTTTGTCCCACTTTCCCCCCTAGTTACCCCCACAATATTTGCTCAGTTCCAACCACTTCGTGTATGCACATCAACAGTGTCTTTGTCAGCCCTATTCTGCTTCCTTCACGGCATCCTGGGTAAGTCCAGGGAGAGAGAGAGGAGAAGAGAGGAGAAGAGAGGGGGGGGGTAGGGAGGGAGAAAGGGGGAGGGAGAGGGGGAGGGCAATGCAAGAGACATGTGAGTACAGTGGGTAGAGTGCAGCTAGCGAGAGGCTTCTGTGTGAGAATGGTGAAAACAGTACAGTGAACTGCAAGGCTATGGCATGCACACTGCAGCTAACGAGAGGACTGGGTGAGTGTGAAGTGACTATGGTGAGTAAAGTAGAGTGAACTGACAAGTGGAGTTTGTGATTGTAATGATCACAGACAATAGCTTGCAGGTATCCGACGAGGAAAGGAGAAAATAGCGTGTGGCAGCAACTCCTAACCCAACACTTACACGCATGACTTTGGTGGTGTAAGCGACGAAACACACACTCGCGCTTTTGTAATACAAGTGACGAAATACTTACTTGCACTTTCGTGGTGTAAGTGACAAACCACTTGCGTTTACGTGATGTACAGAACAAAACACTTGCGTTTTTGTGATGGAAGTGGCAAAACACTTACTTGCATGACATTGGTGATTAAGTGACAAAACACTAACCTGCACAATCTTGGTGATGTAAGTTGCAGCAAAGGCCGTGAGGGCCACCCCTCCAAGCAGTGAATACAAGGACGAGTCCCCCAGCAACGAGCTTCCATTCTCCGCCTCCTGGAAACGTGAAACAGAGGGGGTTGCGGGTGGGGGGGAAGGGGGGAGGCGGGGAAGGAGACCAACGGCAGTGAAGGTAGAGTAGAGTCTATGCTAATTATCAGCTCAAAAACAAGTTTGCCAACCCAAAGTTGGATCTTAAAAACCCAAAGAAAACGACCATGATGAGTGACTTTCGAACCCAGGGAGAGGCGTACCAAAAGGGATCGGCCAAAGGCTCCAGCGCTGACGTATGCCCACGTGCCAGGCAGCATGCCAATCCACCTGCCACGTGGCAAGAGGGAACCGCGAAGGAGACATAACCTTGTGAGAAAAAATACTTACAAGAAGAGTTCCCAATGGAAAAACAGCATGAAGGGACCCGAGGGGCAGCAGCGTGACGATGTTGCAGCAGCTTGCTGCGAAAACCTTGAACAATCTACAGGACGACTCACGTCCCAGCGACAAATGGCAGCAGCTTCATGCCGTCTTCTCAACAGAAGACGGAATGAGGGGGCTCAGTCGCAGCAGCGTCAACATGGGAACAACTGTTAGTCTATGAACATGGAATGGGTAAACCTAAACAAAGTACAGCACAACTTACGTCCCAGCGACATATGGCAGCAGCTTCACGGAAGTGAGCCCGTAGAAGTAGTTCCCCAAGGAAAACGGCATGAGGGGGCTCAGGCGCAGCAGCGTCACGATGCGGAACGAGTTGTCCCCCACTGCGCGGTCGATCGCCTCGTACTTCTTGTTGCCGCGCACCATGCCCAGAATGCGATCTCTGGCGACATACCGCGCGATGAGGAACGCTATTGTGGCGGAGATCTGTGTGCGGAAGGGTAGCGGGATGAGAGAGGGGGAGAGTGGGAAGGAGGAGAGGGATCCTTCGGTCGATCGCCTCGTACTTCTTGTTGCCCCGCACCATGCCCAGAATGCGATCGCGCGCCACGTACCGCGCGATCAGGAAGGCTATCGTGGCGGATATCTGGAGGGGGAGGGGAGCAGGGGAGCACACAGCGCGAGCGGAATAGCCCGCGCAGCTAGCACATCCAGAGGCGCGTATCCTAAAACCATGCGTGAGGAGTCTATTTTTGAGGCGCCTAAAAAATAGGCCGGCACAGCTAGCACATCCAGAGGCGCGTATCCTAAAACGAGCACCATCACATTCTGTGCAACACATCCCCCCGTTACCATCACAAACAGTTATACCACAATCCCCAACCATTGATCCCCGTTATTATTACGTACCGTGCCTGAGAGACTGCAGAGGAACGTCCCCATAACCGGGCCAAAAATCACTCCAGCGGACAGCGTCAACGGAATGGCCGGCACCGCCAGCACCTCCAATAGCGCGTATCCCATAACGAACACCACATAGCCCGCGGATCCCGCTCCTTCAATGTACGTGGTAAAGAAGTCGATCGCGCCGGAGAGTTCGTCCTTATACATGTACCCTAGGAGCGCGAGCGACGCGACGACGCTTATGATCAGCGCTCCCGCGGCCAGCGACCCGCCTACGGCCGCTTCGTTGCTCAGCAACTCGCCGTTAGATTCGGGTTCCACGTCAGCTGCCACGTCGGATGGCTTCTCAATCGCCACGTCAGCAGGATGAGAGTGGGGGACTAGAGTCAGCGAGGATTCGGGAGAGGAGTTCGCGTCGGCTTCTTGACGGGAGGAATCGGAATGTAATCGGTGGGGAGTCGCGTTTTGATGAGCCTCGAGAACCGCATCGAGCGGAAAAGACGGATGGTTCTCCTCTAGGTCGGGACCGCCATGGGGGGATTTACTGTGTTTGACTCCGTTAGGAGCGCTCCAGAGTCTGTCAGATTCGTGCCGTTTCCGTTCCGTTTGAAGAGAGCACCGAACTGAGCTGTACCGCACTGGATTGCTCTGACCTAGCGACGGAAGTCCTTGCCTGGCTGGGATACATCGTTGGTGGCGATAGCCCGTTCTATGCGGCAATCTGATGCACGTGACATTAGGGAGGGTCTGTGCTGAGCTGGGTGACAGTAACGGGGGGAGTTGTGCTGTCAAAGGAGCCTGCAAGGCAACTCTAGCTGCGCCTGCCGCCATGGCTAGTACTGTCGCGGCAGCTCAGGCGGGGGACTTTAGGAACACGCACTGCAACGAACGGCTTCCGCGAGGAGCGGAACGCGAATCGCCGGACGACAGATGCGAAAGATGCGAGAAGCTGATCACAGTCAGTTTCTGTCGCGGGTATAGAACAGGGTTGTCAGCGCCCAGGGTCCAAGGTGCAAACTGAAGGGTGCTCAACCCTCGGCACGAAAAACGAGCCTCGCCGAGAAACACAGGAGCCTTGGATTGCTGCAACCTGTTACGTTCCGACGATGGACCGTAAAGCGCGGAGTACAGGAAGCAGTTTGCCTCTCCTCGCGTTCTTCTTCTTGAATAATCAAGAACTGCGAGACGGGAGCTTTCTACCCTTTCCGGCAGACGCAGATGGAGAAGGGGGAGTTGAGCTCGATGCTTCGGTGGTCGAAGTGTGTGACTGCTCGATGCTTTCTACCCTTTCAGGCAGACGTAGTCAGAGTGATGTGGTGGGTGATGCAGCCTCAAGAGAATCTAGATTCTAGAAAGTTCGATACTCGAAAGGTAAGGGCGTGCGTTTACAATTCACTTTATACGGTTCAATATGGTTTGCAGAGTTCCAACGTGGTGAAGCGTGCACACCGCTCCTCATCGCGATATATCCTACTGAACCGTGATCCGTGTACTGTAAACGTACCTGCTGGACACGCCCTAAGCAGGCAATATGGCGGTGGTTCGTTGTCCTCGAGAGGATGTCAGGTGGTGTTCAATTGGGAATATACTGCTGCCTATAAGTACTGAACTGAACGGAGGGTGGAGATTACGCAAGAGGTACTGGAGATTCGCTGGGATCGTAATGGACGGAAAAGATGTGATATGAGGCATGAACACCAACGAGGGATGTGATGTGAGCGGACCGCACGTGAGGGGTATTGGCGGAGCTTGTGTGATGGATGATGGCTCAGGCGAACACACGCGTGAGCAGGGCGAACAAACTAAAGCGAAAATAATGACGTGGCACGGTTCACAGGAGGAGTCAAAAGGGGTGGGAACTGACAGCCAATCATGTGCGTCTGGTGATGTGCGGACGAAACTGGGTGTACATGTGGCATGACAAAACATTGGCAAATGCTGCGCGCTGTGCCCTCAGTTTCCCCAGACAGGCAGGTGGATAGTGTCATGTGGTCAATGCTGCGTATGCATCGTGCTGTGATGACGCGCTTCATGTCAATCCTATGTGTGGTCAAGAGCCGCAAGAACGCAGACGTGGCTTTCCAGGACTTCCGTGCGCAGGCAGCCATTGACACCACGACACGTCGACGGGGAATCAACTGTGTGGAGGGAATTGTTGGTAGTTCCAGATTCCGTTCAGGAAAATTCATTGGACTGGGCTATCACGGATATGAAAGTTCAGAATATTTTTTCACTGAAAGTGATTGGCAGCAAGAATTAGCTATAACATCCCAAGATTATATCTAGGCTGAAGGCCCTCTTAGACTAAAGGATGTGCTTCTAACTTCACTTCAAGTGGCTATCTTCTACATAATTTCTTTGTTTACACAACGGAATCTACCAACCACATAATTTCGTTGTACCAAATAATTTAGAACTACCTTTATTGCCTTATCCCTTAGTCTAACTCGACGCACATCTATTGGAACCAACGACCCACCTGGTAGTTCTCTTGTTGCTCCGGTGCTCTTGCACCCTCGTCTTCTTGCTTCGCAATCTTTGGGCCCTTGAACCACCGATGAGCATCCAGCACCCACCATAGAAGGAATATTGCCATGACAACAACAATGCCCACAGAGGCGTAGTTGAAATTCTCCGCAGTTACAGGGTACTCCGTTGGAATAACGAAGACGACCATGGTGTAGACGACGTATGTAAGAGCAAGGACGTGGACACACTTGCTGGTAAGGGGGAAAGGGTGGGGCACGAGACAACACAGGGGATAAGCAAAGGGATGTAAGAGGGGGGCTTGGGGAGGGTGGGGTGGGCAGGGGGAGGAAAGGGGGAAGGGGGGGGGGAGGGGGACAAGGGGAGCATAGTTTACGTCTATACAGTATCCTTCCAGATTAAGCCATACCCTGTTATACCATAACCTTCTACACCATAGATTTCATACCGTAATCTTGACACCAGGTGAATGCAAGGAGGGGGAGGGCGAGGCAGGTGATGGCCTCCTCTTGAAACACCCAACAGCATCAGCAGAAGCCCCTTTCTCCCGCTTCTGCCCTTCTCCCCCCCCTTTCTCCTTCCCCTCTTCCCTCCCCCTTGCTTACCCGCCGAAGTGGCCGATGAAGTTCGGAAGATAGAAAGGCCCAGGAGAGAAGTCCTTGTCGGACTGGATGATCCGGAAGAAGATCGGATCGCCATACGCGCCGAACCACCCCACAGTGGCCATCCCAGTGACGGCAAAGTAGGCGACAGACGGAACCCTCAAGGGAAATGGCTTACCCGCCAAAGTGGCCGATGTAGTTGGGCAGATAGAAGGGCCCAGGGGAAAAGTCCCTGTCTGATTGGATGATTCGGAAGAAGATCGGAACGCCGTACGCACCGAACCACCCCACAGTGGCCATGCCAGTGACAGCGAAGTAGGCGACGGAGCCCCCCAGCAGGGGAATGAGGAAAATGATGGCTATGGCGCTGGTGCATGCGATGGCGTTGACTGGCACTTTGTGGGCGTTGACCTGGCGCCAGAGAAAGGAGAGCGGTAACCCATGATCACGAGACAAGGCGTATCCCTGGTGGGGGGTGGGGGGTTGAGGCAATGGGGGAGAAGGGGGAGGAAGATGAGTGATGGCGCTGGTGCATGCAATGGTGTTGACTGGCACCTTGGAGGCATTGACCTGGCACCAGAGGAAGGAGAAAGGAAGGCTGTGATCACGGCACAACGCATAGATTTTTGAGTCGACTAAAAATTCGGGACAACGCATAGCCCTGTAGGGAAAGGGGGAAAGGGGGAGGGGGGGGGGAGGGGGATTGGGGGGAAGGGGGAATGGGGGGAAGGGGGAATGGGGGAGAAGAGGAGGCAGGCGATGGCAGTGGCGCTGGTGCTCGCGTTGGCGTTGACTGGCACCTTGTTGTGGGCGTTGAAGGGCCGGTCATGAGCAAAGGCGTAGCCCTTGAAACAAGAGGGAGATGAAGGGAGGGGGAGGAAGGGAGGGGAGTCCATGAGATGAGCGCATGGGAAAGGGGGTGGGGTGGGGGGGGGGGGGGGAGGGGAGGGGGGGAAGGGGAGGGGGGGACGGGGGTTAGGCGGGGGAGGTGAAAAAGAGGTGAGGAGAGGTGGGGATGAGTGAAGGGTGATGCGGAGGTATAAGTGATGCAACAGAATCCTGAGGATGTGACTTTTGAGTCGACTAAAAAATCAATAAACATTCACCACACAAACAGCAGCGAGGGTGAGGGTGATAGTGGCAAAGAAGAAGGAAAGTAAAGATGAGTGGCGGGTGAGAGGATGAGATGAGAGCACAGCCGCACCCACCACATGCAGTAGCAAACACCACGCATCCCCCATGCGAGCAGCAGCAGCAGCAGCAGAACTCACCACACGAGCAGCAGCGAGGATGAGGGTGGTAGTGGCGAAGAAAAAGGAATTGAAGAAGAGAGGGTAAGAGGATACGAGGATACGTGGATGAGCAGATGAGAGGATAAGGTTGACTGAGGCACTCACGACGCGAGCAGCAGCGAGGATGAGAGTGATGGTGGCGAAGAAAAAGGAAGTGAAGAAAAGGCCAAGAAACACACACGCACCCGCGCCGTTGCCAAATCTGAAAGGGAAAAGGGGTGCAAATGACTGTTGAGGCGCCTCAAAAGGGATGTATCTGAAAGGGAAAAGGGGTGCAAATGGGTCTGCTGGAGCTGGAAACCGGGAGAGCGTGGGGCAAGGGGGAGGAAGTGAGGGAGGGAGGACGAATGCGATTGTGTCCTCAAAACCCAGACCCTTGTATTTGAGGATTCAAGGACATGCCAGTGTAGTTTTGCAGATGGTGAAGAAGGGGGATGCGAGAGGATGGAGGTGGGGCAGGATGGTTCTTAAGACGATAGAATCTAGTTCTTCTAAGACGTCTTAGAAGAACTCGATCCTTAAAACAACAGTCAAATTGTTGGGAAAAATATGATAGTGTGTTGAGTCTTGTTGCGTCATATGATATGATATGAAACGACACGATACGATACGATGTTATATAATGAGCGCCACAAAACAACACCTCCCATTACAGTCACCTGCACTACAAGGACAAAAGCAATAGAGCAGCACTCTGAGTGCAATCAGGTGACTTTTGACTTTTGACCTTTGAGTTTTGAGTTTTGAGTTTTGAGTCGACTCTAAAGTCGCAACACTCTGAGTGCAAACACACACCCCCCGCCCATAGAATCTGCACCTCTGCTGCCTCCTGCCCACGTTCCAGTGTCACTGGTTCACAACTTACAATCACTCACTACAATCACAACGACCCAACACAGCAACACTCCCAATCCCTCCACCCACATGCCATTGAACAGGCCCCATATGATCTGCACTGCACCACTGCAAACTCCTCCCATATGAAACAAACGACACTCAAACTCTATATAATCACAACCCATCACTCACACCCCACGACCACCACCACTCACCAACACGTCCCATAGGATCTGCACCTCTGCCACCTCCCCCCTGTCAATGGCATGCAGACGAGAGCCACATTCGATACAATCACCCATCACAGCAACACTCCCGTTAGTAGCACTCACCTGCCATAGAATACGTCCCATAGGATCTGCACCTCTGCCGCCTCCCCCCCTGTCACCGTGTCTGTGGCCAGCAGGTTTGCTGGGTCCTGGAGGAAGGGGGAGGGGGGCGGGGGAGGGGGCGGAGGGGGGAGGGGGGCGGGGGAAGGGGCGGAGGGGGGAGGGGGCAGTCAAGCAGCTGAGGGGATGAAAAGGTGCTTCCACACATGGCCGCCCTCCACATGGCGTGGCACCTCCGCCTTTTCCCCCCCTGTCACCGTGTCCGTGGCTAGCAGGCTCGCTGGGTCCTGGAGGAAGGAGGGGAAGGGGGGGAGAGGGGGGGGAAGGAGGGGGAAGAGGACGAGGGCGGGGATGGGGTGGAAAAAGGGGGAGTGAATAGGGGTTGGTTGTACCTCTGCCATCTTCCCCCTCTGTCAACGTTTCCTGTGCCAGCCAGCAGGCTCTCTGCGTCCTGTATGCTAGGTTATATTTTTGAGGCGCCTAAAAAATCGTCGCATGTCACGCGGATTTTATATGGGGAATATTCTCATTGCATGGAGGTGTGCACGTAACCTTCAAAAGTTACTTGTGCGAGCCAAGTTACCAAGGCTTATCGACAGTTCGGAAGAAGACCCTCCTGAAGGCTGACACCTGCGACCTCGGGTTTTTACCCTCTGCTGTGTTGGCGAATGCTCATTGGTAGGCAATCTGGGTAGTTGATCATCTTGAGAATTGTTTTCGAGGGTGTGGGTTTTGTATGCTCATGCCTAGACCTGTGATCTCTTTTGTCCAGTAGCACAGATGACGGCTCAGCGGGTTTGATCCCCGGATTCCCCGTAAGCCGAAACATGTTTGCGACCTGGTGATTTTCAGTGAAGGGTTTTTTTCGAGCAAATCTCTTGCCTAGGATTTTGTACTCTTGTTCTTTCTGCTCTAACTTTGCACTGCTGCTCTTCCCATCCCAATTCCATGAGTGACGACGACCCCTGCCATCTTCCCCCTCTGTCAACGTTTCCTGTGCCAACAGGCTCTCTGCATCCTGTATGCTAGATTATATATCTATTGTATCATGATAGGCTACTATGCAATTAGGTGTATACCAAATGTTGGTGTACACATTAGTGCTTGGGGTGTTAATCCAACCCCCTTGTGGTTGGAGCCCCTAGGCACCAAGACCACACTTGTTGGGTGGGATCACGCAAGCGGCACCAATGGTGGTTGGGTTTCCCAACCACTTTTGATTTCCCCAACAAGTGGTTGGGTTACCCAACTTCCCTCCCCGTCCTTGGCTCTACCCAGCCTTTGGCGGCACTCTTTCCCCTTCCCTCCCCAGCATGGAGATGGGGTGTTGTCACATCATATCAAATAAGACCGCTTGTCATCTTTGCCCTTTTGCGATGTGTACACTACTGACCTGGATGCAGCAGGTGAGAGCAACAATGACTACCTTTGAGGCGCCTCAAAAGCAGCATGGCGATGGGGGTCGTCACAAAAAATCAGACCGCTTGGCCTCTATGCCTTTTTACCTCCACTTTACCTGCAGACTCACAGAGAGTGGGTAGACTATTGACCTGAATGCAGAAGGTGCTTTTGAGTCCTGAGAGTGTGTACACTATTGACCTGAAAGCGGGTTTAGGGTTTACACCTGAATGCAGAAGGTGAGAGCAACAATGACGCCCCACTCCACGAAGCTGATCAACGAGAGGGCAGCAATCATGGCAAAGGGAGTCGTCACATCGGACCGCTTGGCCTCTTCTGAGGTGTGCGCCGCTGCATCGAATGCATACAGCGCGTACTGCGACATCAGCAGGCCGGCTACCACTGCATACGCCTGGAAGCCAGAGGACGAGGAGGGGAGGGGGAAAGGGAAAGTCAAGCTTGGCTTCTTCTGAGGTGTGAGCCGCTGCATCGAATGCATAGAGCGTGTACTGCGACAACAAGAGACCTGCCACGACTGCGTATGCCTGGGTGTGAGGGGCGGGAACGGGACAGGAATCGCTATACGCCTCTTCTGACGTGTGGGCCCCTGGATCAAATGCGTAGAGCGCGTACTGCGACATCAGCAGGCCTCCTACCACCGCATATGCCTGGGAGCAAGGGGGCAAGAAGAGCAGAGAAAGAGTCAAGGTTAGCCTCTTCTCGGGTGTGCGCCACTGCATCGAATGCATACAGCGCGTGCTGTGACATCAGGAGACCTGCCATTACCGCGCATGCCTGGAAGTGAAGTGAGGGATGCCTGGGTGCGGGAACGGGACGGCAAGGTCACGCTTCGCCTCTTCTGATGTGTGTGCGGCTGCATAGAACACATACAGCGCACACTGCAACATTAGCAGACCTGCCACTACCGTGTCTGCCTGAGAGCAAGGGGATGGAGAAGAGTGGGGGTTGTCAAACTTCGCCGGTGTTTCCCAATCCCCCCCCTTCTTCTTTTCTTCTCTAAAAAAATTACTCCAACTTAGGGGAAGAGTGGGAGTATCAGCAGTAGGCCTGCTACTACCGCGTATGCCTGGGACCACACCATAGTTGCGCACTGAGACTCACCCCGTTGGGAATGCCTGTGATGGCATATTGCACTTCAAAGTGGCCAAACACCCACGAAGCCGGCTGATGGGTCTTGGCCACTGCAGGGAGGGTGATTATGAACGCCACTGCCACTAAGATCTGTCGAAACACATCGAAAAGAGAGTGAGGGAGGGAGCGGGGCATTGTGCTTCGGGAGGGCGATTAATTCTGAACGCCGCTGCCACAAGGATCTGGTGGAAACACAGGGGGGAGGGAAGGGGGTGGGGATCGGGGCATTGTGCTTTTTGAGAATTCTAAAAAACATTCTGCAAAATCAGGGGGGAGGGAGGATGAGGTGGGGAGCGGGGCGTTGTGCTTTGGTTTGGAACTTTGGAGTCCCGCGAAACGAAACAGGCGCTCAGGCCCTTAGCCACTGCAGGGAGAGTGATTTTGAACGCCACCGCCATAAGGATCTGGTGGAAAACAGGGAGGGCAGGGGAAGAAGAATACAGGGAGAATTTAGGAGTGAGAAAGGAGGGGGGGAAAGGGACGTTGTGCGTGGAGGTGCATTGATCCAAGGGTTTAGGACTTGGCCCCACTGCTGGAAGGGTGATCACGATTCACGAACGCCAATGCCAATGGACAGCACGGGCACACACACATAGATGCCATGCTACACATACACCAGCATTCCTCTGAAATGGTTCTCCCACCTGCAGCCCAGTGCCCACGGCCAGCGCTTGGCCGACTCGCTTGATGGGGAGAATGTTGACGGCCGCACAGACTGGGATGAGGGCCGCTCCCAGATAGGTACATAGACACCCGTATACCACAGGGTAGCTGTTAATGTATTACGCCTATATTACCTGCAGCACAGCGCCCACAGCCAGCACTTGGCCGACTTGCTTGATGGGGAGGATGTTGATGGCCGCACAGACCAGGGTGATACCTACTGCTGTATACTGCGATACGAGTGTTATGACAGGTGAGTGCTATAGCTCTCTCGTCTCAGATATACGAGTGTTATGGCAGGTGAGTGCTATAGCTCTCTCGTCTCAGATATACGAGTGTTATGGCAGGTGAGTGCTATAGCTCTCTCGTCTCAGATATACGAGTGTTATGGCAGGTGAGTGCTATAGCTCTCTCGTCTCAGATATACGAGTGTTATGGCAGGTGAGTGCTATAGCTCTCTCGTCTCAGATATACGAGTGTTATGGCAGGCGAGTGCTATAGCTCTCTCGTCTAAGATATACGAGTGTTATGGCAGGCGAGTGCTATAGCTCTCTCGTCTCAGATATACGAGTGTTATGGCAGGTGAGTGCTATAGCTCTCTCGTCTCAGATATACGAGTGTTATGGCAGGCGAGTGCTATAGCTCTCTCGTCTAAGATATACGAGTGTTATGGCAGGCGAGTGCTATAGCTCTCTCGTCTCAGATATACGAGTGTTATGGCAGGTGAGTGCTATAGCTCTCTCGTCTCAGATATACGAGTGTTATGGCAGGTGAGTGCTATAGCTCTCTCGTCTCAGATATACGAGTGTTATGGCAGGTGAGTGCTATAGCTCTCTCGTCTCAGATATACGAGTGTTATGGCAGGTGAGTGCTATAGCTCTCTCGTCTCAGATATACGAGTGTTATGGCAGGCGAGTGCTATAGCTCTCTCGTCTAAGATATACGAGTGTTATGGCAGGTGAGTGCTATAGCTCTCTCGTCTCAGATATACGAGTGTTATGGCAGGTGAGTGCTATAGCTCTCTCGTCTCAGATATACGAGTGTTATGGCAGGCGAGTGCTATAGCTCTCTCGTCTAAGATATACGAGTGTTATGGCAGGCGAGTGCTATAGCTCTCTCGTCTCAGATATACGAGTGTTATGGCAGGCGAGTGCTATAGCTCTCTCGTCTCAGATATACGAGTGTGTGACCCCCTTACCACAGCATGTAAGCAAATCCTTGGACATCTTCCAGTGAGCGCGGCGTCAGTGAGCGCGGATTTGCTTACGAGTGTGTGACCCCCCGTATCACAGCATGTATGTACACAGCACACTCACCTGCAGCACAGCGCCGACAGCCAGCACTTGGCCGACTCGCTTGACGGGGAGAATGTTGATGGCCGCACAGATCAGGATGAGCGCCGCACACGAGAGAAACTGCAGGTAGTGCGGGAAGTCGTAGCCGCCACCGTTCATGCCACCTGGGGGCGGGGGTGGGGGGGGAGGGGGAAGGGGGAAGGGGGGGGAAGGGGGAAGGAGGAAGGGGGACGGAAAGGAAGGGGTATGGCGTGTTAAGGCACGGACCAGGATGAGCGCCGCACACGAGAGAAACTGCAGGTAGCGCGGGAAGTCGTAGCCGCCACCGTTCATGCCACCTGGGGAGGAAGGGGTGGGGGAAGGGGGGCCGAGGAGGAGGCAGGAAAGGAGTAGGAGGGAGTGGGTAGGAGCGCCGCACACGAGAGGACCTGCAAATAGTGGGGGAAGTCGTATCCGCCACCGCTGTTCATCCCACCTGGGAAGGAAGGGGTGGGAGGGAGAGGGGGGAGAGGGGGGAGAGGGAGGGAGGGGGGAAACTTGGAACAACGATGTAAGGGAACTTGTGGCAAGCAACAAGCAACATGCAGCTAAGAACAATGGTGCGACCTCACCTGTGGGTGGCTACCAGCACGAGCGACATTCTCTGCTGAATGCCACCAAAGGCCACTCCGCACACCGTTGAGTTGACTCACATGCACCAGTCATTCGCAGCAACCAATTGCACCTACGGACGCACCACCATAACGGGCGTCCCCTCACCTGTGGCTAGCAGCACGAGCGACATTATCTGCTGAATGCCACCAAATGCCACTCCGCCCACCCCCACCGACACACCCACAAACTCCAGCCAGCCCTGACAGGGTAGGTGGGAGTGCGAAGAAGGTGAGGGGGGGTGGAGGAGTGAGAAGGAGATGAGAAGGGGTGGAGGTGTGAGAAGAAGTGACAAGAGTGAGAAGAAGTGACAAGAGTGACAGAGAGTGAAAGGAGTAAGCTCTAGCTTTGAGGCACCACGAAGGCCACTCCACTCCACCCCGTCCACCCACCCCCACTGACACTCCCACAAACTCCAGCCAGCCCTGACAGGGTAGGGAGGAGTGAGAAAGTGAGGGGGAGTGGATGAGTGAGGAGAAGTAAGGGGAGTGATTAAGAATGAGAGGTGTGAGATCTAGCTGCCGGCACTCTGCCCCCACAAAGGCAACACACAGTGTCACAGTCCACCAAGCCTACCACCCCCACCAACACCCCCACACACACTGGAGCTAGATGCCAGCACAGAGTAAAGCAGTTATGATGCATTCTTTGCTTTGGCGTTCTATACTCACTGTGATCCACGCTGCAAAAGGGCCGTACTTTGGGCCGGCGAGAGCAGCCGCCCAGAAATAGAGCGAACCAGCGGTCTGAAGATGGGGGACGGGTGAGAGAGGGGAGGATAAGAGGAGAGGAGGGGGAAGCATTAGTGCAGTTAGGTAGGAAGGGGTCAGCCAGAGGCCGACCAGAAATAGAGGGAACCAGCGGTCCGAAGAGGGGGGATGGGTGAGAGAGGGGAGGATAAGAGGAGAGGAGGGGGAAGCATTAGTGCAGTTAGGTGTGAACGGAGCCAGCACGCCCAGATAGAGAGAACCACATGTCTGATCCGAGGTGAGGATCAGTCAGCGGGACAGTAGGCGAGGAAAGAAGGAGAGGAACGCTAAAGGGGAGTTGGAGGGTGGAATGAGCGTTAATGAGCGGGTGAGCGGGTGCGTGGGTGAGCAGGTGGGGAACGTTTTGAGACATCAAAACGTCTCAAAACGTTTTGAGACGTCTCAAAACTGGAGGGTGGAGTGGAGTGCGTTAATGAGAGCGTTAGTGAGTGGGTGAGACGGCGAGCAGGTGGGCAAAGATGACAGTGATGTGTGCACGCATGCACGTGTGCGTGCATGCATGTGTGCAATTGGACATGCATGTGTGCAATGGGCATGCATGTGTGCAAATGTGCATGCATGTGTGCAATAGTGCATGCACGCACGCCTTAATGCGATCTCTTACAGGAAAGGAGGAGGCGATCTCAGCAAAGGACAGGGCGAGCAGGTGGGCGAAGAAGGCGGTGATCCACCAGAACCACACGCAGCACACCGGCCCGCCGTTGAGGTAGGCAGTGCTGCAAACAAACCCGACACACAATGCGAGGAAGAGAGGAAGGAGAATGGGGCGGGGCACTGAAGGCAGTGACATGTAGGATCAGAAGAGAACACAATGCGAGGAGGAAGCGGGGGGTTGCAGTGACGGCTGTGATCAGTGACAGCTGTGATCCAGCGACGGCTGTGATCAGTGACAGCTGTGATCCAGCAGAAACTATGCACGTACCCGTAGTAGGGGATCCCCAGGAACATGCCCACGCCGCAGAAGGCCACAGAGAACAGCTCGAACGAGTTCTGCCGAGTGCAGGGTTGGGGGTGGAGGGGGAGGAGGGGTGGAGGAGGGGAGGGGGAGGGGGGCAGGAGGGGGGGAGGGGGGGGGAGGGGGTGGCATGCGTATGTTGTGTTTAGCAGATGGGCAGTAGCAGGTGAAACATGGCAGCAAAAAGTTAGACTTTGAAGCGAGTTAGAAGCAGACGGCCGCAGAGAAAAGCTTGTACCTGTTATAAGTCTCACCATGGACCGTTGCAGGCCCTGCTCGTATCCCAGCTCCATCAGCCGTTTCTCCCCGGAATCCAGCTCCAGAGTAAAGAACAACACCCCGTCCTCTAGCATAATCTCCAAAGTCTTAGCTGTCCCCTTCCCCTTCCCCTTCCCCTTCCCCTTCCCCTTCCCCTCCCCTCCCCTCCCCCCTATACACGAAGCTTCTCACCATGGAACGTTGTAGGCCCTGCTTGTACCCAAGCTCCATCAGGGGCCGATCATGTAACTAACACGTGGCATCCCCGTTATAAAGTCAGTCTCACCATGGACCGTTGCAGGTCCTGCTTGTATCCCAGCTCCATTAACCGTTTCTCTCCGGAATCGAGCTCCAGGGTAAACAACACGCCATCATCCAACATAATCTCCATGGTCTTGGCTCCCCCCTCCCCCTCTCCGCCCCCTTCCCCGCCGCCATCCGGCTTTCCCGCGTCGCCTTTCACGAGAGCCACCACCGCAGCGCCTTCGAACGCGCAGCCTTCGCGGAACAACTCGTCTTCCTCCGTCTGCACTATGCCCGCTGCTTCAGGCGCCGCCATGGCTCTAATCCGATCTCGTCTGATCTACCTCCGAAATGGTAACTTTCCGGAATGATAATACAGTCTGAACAATAATGTCTACACTAATGATCTTATTGAGGGTGAATTGTTCTACGGCTGAAACGAGACGTACTGGTGAAAATGCGCTCGAATAGGACTCCTATTTGGGGGAAAAAGACAAAGCTTCCGCTTTGCTGTGTCAGAAGCGCACTGGCGACTCGCGCTTGAAACGCCGGCAAACTTTTAATCAACAAACCTATCGCCACAAATTTTGTGACGTACATGCGACAGCACTGAATTAGGTTCGAGCTATCGCTAGTGTCGCTAGCGATACTCTCAGACCATGCGACGATGCATAAGCAGTCGGTGCGATTGCGGCGTCGCTAAGGCGTGCTGGTTACCTCAACGAATGAAGGCCGGTTACAACGAGAACGGCTACAACAGCATCCGCGACGGGAATGCGAAGCACGCAAACTAGTTACTCTACGTGCGACGCATTATCAGTGAATACTGTTCGACGATAAAATAGATAAGAGCTGCTGCAGTGCGAGCAAAGAGAAAGACCGTTTTGCCGCAAGTACTAGACGGTGGAATGCGGAGAGCAAAAAGTTAACGCGATCCGTCGCCAAACGTCTATATTTTAGCGAGTGCACCGGCGTGCATTTTATAAACTTATTGGAGATGCATAATCAAGGCTGGCTGGAGATTAGCGGTCCGGCGGCAGGAGTTCCTTCAAGAACCACACCATCCAGGCAACTACGAGGGTGGGCAAAGACCAGCGTAAACAAACAGCAATTAGAAACTGGCGGTTCAGCTGAGGTAGAACGGATCCACATTAGCGGACAACGTAGATCCAAGCTAGGTACAGTACGTTTCTGTGCGTTTTCAAAAGGTTTTTCAGACTTCGCGTCTGTGCGGTGAGAAACTCGATGTCCATCCACTGCAAGGCCAGACACACACCTTGAAAGAGAATGGGCAAGCAGGTGTGGTCAGTCGGTTGGGAGGGAGGCTTGCGGGCTGAGACTTCTGTCTGGTCTGGCTGGACCCTTCCAAAATTGCGAAGCATCGCACTTAGGGCGGGGAACAACGCGTCCGGTTCGACGATCGTCTAACGATCATCGCTTTGTAGAAAGCGGGTAACATGACTGCTACAGTTGCCCATAAATAGTCATGTCCCGGATCGAAGGGGAAGATCACTTTCGAAACAAAATTGGGAATCAGTCGCACATCCAACAAAAAACAAACGATTCTCCTCCACAAAGTACCAGATCGCCTCACCCCCAAATGCCACGAAATCAGAAGCGCTTCGCCAACTCGCCATTGCGAAATTTTTGACAAACCAAATCCTCCTGTCTCCCGCCAGACATGTGAGGTCCAGGGAAGGTTGCGCGGTTTGGGATTTTCGCTCCTACAGTCAACTCAGTGGGGAATTTAGTTTCTTCTGCCGTCAAGCTGACATGGCGCATTTCCATAAGTTATCCTACCGAGACAGTCGAGCCTCGTCGCAAGATACATACATTCGCGATTTTGGGGTTTACCCATCCCGAAATGGCATGCGGGTCCCTATGGGTTTTTTCCTGTTTTGCCCAGGGCAGCCAGCTTTTCTGATTTTACGTACCAGACGTAGCCCGACAAAGATTCCGTTTCGCCAAATGGCAAAAATTGGTTTGTCGAAATGACAGGTTGGAGAGGCTCGGTTGCTTGTTTGGGCCCTGAACCTCTATGAAAGCTCAAATCAGAGAACACACGTGTTGACGGCCAAAGCATATTCTTGCCCCACTAATTTGACTGCATGAGCAACTGGGCCGCGGGGTTTCGACGAGGTCTTCTGCGAAAGGCCATGCCGTCCAGCTGCAAATGAGATCGGAAGTTGCAAATCTGGAACATGCCTATGTCGCGTACGAGATCGATTTTGGCGTCGTTTTTGGGTTGCGGAGCAACCTATTGCAATCGATCGGGCTGGTTTTTTTTTTCAAGTTTGTGAAATAAAAATCAAATGTTTGTTGTGATGGAAATAAAACATTTTATGTATAATAAAGTCTCATCATGAAATGCTCCGCAACCCTAAGACGATCTCGTCGCCTCTTGTTTTTTTTTTTTTTTTTTTTTTTTTAATTTCTTTCTTTCTTTCTTTTCTTTTTTCCGTATAGATCGAATCAGAATCGAAATACTAAAAAACAGAGAATCGATTTTTTCGCCACGAACCTCCGAAACGGACGTGACGTAGCGCGCCCTAAACCCGTGACGAATGTGAAAAATAAGCCCATACCTGCCAATACTGGTTTGAAGTGACACTCTGGTCCGAAAAGAGGGTTTTAGTTGGGACTGTTCCCCCACACCGACCGAACCTACCCACCACCCCACCACCCCACCACCCCTCCACCAACCAAACCAACTCCACAGGCTGAGCTGCACTGTACAGAACTGCAGGGCGGATCCTCCAAAAATAGCCCCAGTGGGCTCCTTTCTTCCCTGGACTCAACCTAGCGGGGCGAGTTTTTTAATTTGACCCAAAAATGTTTTCTTCCCGACCTCATTACCGCCTTGTCGGAGCAGCGACATGGTAAGCCCAGCGTTTCCCAACCGCCCGCCAGGCGCACCTCACGCATTTGCAGCAGAATGGTCGGCCAAGAAAGAACGGGAAATACACCCGAATCCGAGCCGTGTTGGCGCAATTGCACCAATTTTCAAGGTAAGTAGCACGTGTACTTTGTTCTGAATACAGTACAGTTGAAGATTCATTGAACGTGCAAAAAAAAGTGCGGGAAAGGTGTATTGTCTTGTACCGAACACCACCGCACCGTCACAAGGACCAAAAAAACACATCTCTGGCTGTTGCAAGAAATCTCGTTTTTAACAACCTCGATACTGCATCCTTTCTCACTGACAGAACCGTGAGCACATATTGGAATTGTGATAGTTTCCCCACCATCCCACCAAGTCTTTGCCACACACACATAACAAAATTTCGCTAGTAGCCCTAGCGGGTTCAATCCCTACTATGGCGCTGACCAGCGCTCTGCCTGCTATGTCGTCCCTTCACATAATGTCAACACAATCGCCTAACCTAGCCACGTCAATAGCGCCATTTCCGATCACTCCCTCGCTACCACTCGCTACGCATTCCTCAACAAACGACTCTCGCCAACTCATAACCTTCCGGATTCTCCGGCCAACCTCGTGTCGAAGCCCGCATTTTCCGCGACTGACCGCGAGAACCAGTCTTTGTAACAGAGCGTGTGTTGTTGCCCGCGCTTCGCGGGACAGTTCGTCGGGGCGCGATTCCGAGTCGCAGAGCAGAGTGAGCGAGGGAGAGGAGGAGGAAGATGAGGAGGAAGCGGAGGTGGAAAAATGCCATTTTGGCGGGAAGGAGTTGGAGCGGTTCGTCAGAATCAACGAGGGCCAATGGCGAGGCGTGTTTCTGGTGAGACTCGCACGCTGGAGACAAACGGACGGTTGGGATTACATACAGAAGGGGAGCACAGGGTGTGTTTGCAAGCTCTGGTTGGATTTTTTAGGCCTCGAGTTTCTGGTTCGGGGCCTAGGGTTACAAAGCAGCGTTACAAAGCAGTTGCCCCTCGTGCCTCCCTCCTCTCCCCTTTTGCCCTCTGACTGATTCCCTTCCCCTCCCCCACCTTCTTTGAGGCGCCTAAAAAAATCTTCCCCTCCCCCACCTTCCTTCTGCCAAACCCTCCCCCTTCCCCCTTCCCCCTTCCCCCTCTTCCTCCCCCCTCCCCCTGTCCGCTCCTCCCCCCTGTATCGCCCCTCTTGCTCGTTTCCCCCTGTCCTCCTCCCCTTCCCTCCCCTCCCCTGACCCGAACGGGCGGCTGCTGCACAGAGTGCCCGCCCGCGTGTCCGCTCCTCCCCACTGTACCGTCCCTCGTGCCCTTTCCCCCTGTCCTCCTCGCCCGTAGCACTACGACCCGAACGGGTGACTGCTGCACACCAAATGCCGACCCTAATCCTTAAACCCTCAACCCCGTCCGCTGCTCAACCTCTTCCCCCTGAGTCTTCCCCCTGGCGCTGTTTCTCCCCATCCCTCCACTTCCCAATCCCAGCACTACGCCCTGAACGTTCGGCGGCTGCACACCGGGCGGCAGCTGCCGAACCTAATCCTTAAACCCGCAACCCCGTCCGCTCCCTTCCCTTCCCTCTGGCCCAGTTTCTCCCCGTCCCCACAGTTCCCAATCCCAGCACTACGGCCTGAACGGGCGGCGTGTTAGTAGTAATCTCACTTTGAGATGTCTCAAAACGAAAAAAAAAAAACTAACACGCGGATTTTTCGCATCTCACCACTTCCCAATACCAGCGCTATGACCGGGTGCTGCTGCTGCTGCTGCACAACGGGCGGCTGCTGCACACCGGGTGCTGAACCCTCAGCCTAGTCCGCTCCTCAACCTTCCCCCTGCGTCTTCTCTCTGGCGCTGTTTTTCCCCATCCCCCAACTTCCCAATGCCAGCACTACGACCTGAACGGGCGGCTGCTACACAGAGTGCCCACCCGCATGTCCGCTACAGCCTTTGGGAAAGGAGAGAACTCTTCCCTGCTACAGACGTGAGTCTCTACCTTGTGGGGTATGCGAGTTGATGCTACGCAGAGCACGTCCGTCCGCTACAGCTGTCTAGACGGGGAGAGAACTACTCCCTGCTACAGACGTGAGTGTTTGCCATGGGTGTGTGTGTGTGTAGATGCTACAGGTGTCCGTCTGCTACAGCTGTCTAGACGGGGAGAGAGGGTGAGAGATTCTCCCTTCTACAGACTATGTGCCTGTATAATGGTTACAGAGTGCGCACCCGCCTGTCCGCTACATCCTTTGGGCGGCAAGAGAACTGCTCCCTGCTACAGACGTGTGTGTTTTGTGGGAAAGCAGGCTTGTCTTGTGTGTGCATGTGGGGCGCAAAGCTAGAGAGGTCACGCACGCACACAGTTTAGGTCAGGAAACAGAAAGCTAGGGGTGACTTTTGATTCGACTCAAAAGTCACCTCGCACGCACACAGTTTAAGTCAGGGAACAGAAAGCTAGGGGAGGGACGTCACTGGGATCACAGCAGCCAACCTTTCTCCCCTCTCCCTCTCTATTTCCTTCTTCCCCTCTCCTCCCGCCTCCAGGTTGAGTGTGAAGCAAGCCGGCACGGGAGGGGATGGGGAGGAGGAGGAGTGGGTGGAGATTAGGCCAAAGGAGGTCAATCTTATCACAGCAGGCGGCACCTGTCCCTCTTCCCTATCTTTCCCACAGGTTGAGTGTGAAGCAGGGTGGCACGGGAGGGGATGGGGAGGAAGAGGAGTGGGTGGAGATTAAGCTGGAGGAGGTCAACCGGATCACAGCAGCCAATCGCCTCCAGGCACGTGGCAGATGCGTTTTTCGTTCTTCCTTTGGTTCGTGCTTAATACGTTATAGGTAGCAAGCAAGCGTCTTGACTCTCGCGATGAGATGGTGCGACTCAAATAGGTTTTTGAGAATTCCCAAAAACCTGTCACGTCTTGACTTTCGCCTTGTGTTGTACTGCCCCTTCACTTTTTGCCCTATGATGTTGCGGCTCAAGTCTATAAAGCCTATTCGCAGTTCCCCCTGATTCTTTCTTTCCCACCCTCAGGTGGGCTGGCTCCTTGACCAGGCAACCTATTCAGTCTGCCACCAAACGGCTGAGACTCTAGTCAAGGTGCTCACAGTGGGGGTGCTGGGGGAAGAGGCAGCAGAAGAAGAGGAGGACAAGGCAGCAGAGGTCATCCGAGGCTTGATGCTGCCGTTCTTCCTTCTCTCCCTGTTTGTTCCTCACTCCCATCCCATCAACACGTTGGCTGGTTCCCTGACCACCAGTCAGCCTACTCAATCTGCCACCCAACAGCAGAAGTGCTTGTGAAAGTGCTCACAGTGGGGGTGTTGGGGGAGGAAGCAGCAGAAGCCGACGAGGCAGCAGAGGTCATCCGAGGCCTGAGGCTGCCGTCCCTCTCTCCGTTCGCTCTTCACTCCTCGCCCTCCTCCCTTCTCTCCCTCCTCTCTTCTCCCTCGCCCAGGTGGGCTGGTTCCCTGACCAATCAGCCTATTCCGTGTGCCACCAGACGGCTGAGACTCTAGTCAAAGTGCTCACAGTGGGGGTGTTGGGGGAGGAAGCAGCAGAAGCCGACGAGGCAGCAGAGGTTATACGAGGCCTGCGGCTGCCGTCCCGCCGCCCCGCGCTCGTCAGCGAAACGTGCCTCTTCCTCTCCGAACCAGATTCCGAGCCTCCCTCCGAAGCAAGCCCCGAAGCAAGTGCGGAGGCGGAAGAGAGCCGGCCGAAGCAACGGGTGCGGTCGTTCCACGTGTTGAACTCGAGGGGGATGATCGACACTCTGGGGGTGTTTGTGGAGGAGAGAGAGAGGAGTGGAGAGGGAGCAAGTGAAGATGCATCGCCCCAAGTCAGAGAGCTGCTGGAGGTGAGTCCATCTAGGAGTGCGGTAGTGCCACGTGGTGGACTCCAGGGGGTTGATCAACACGCTGGGAGTGTTTGTGGAGGAGAAAGAGGGGAGCTTGCCTGGTGAGCAGCACGGCACCTCCGTCACACACTGATCAGCCATCTAAGGAGAGACTGCCACTCGTTCCACGTCAAGCCTCCTTGCTCTCCGCTCCATCCTCCCCTCGTATATTCCCTTTTCCAGGCGCAACCAGACCCCCCCAACGCCCAAATCCCCCCCTCCCGCCTGTCTCTTCTGCTTGGTGAATGGGATGGCATCTCCATCACCCACTGGTCGACCATCTACAGGGAGACTGCCATGCATTCCACTGCTTGCTCCCCGCTCCGTCCTCCCCTCACATATTCCCTTCACCAGGCGCAACCGGACCCCCCCAACATCCCAGTACCCCTCTCCCCCCTCTCTCTTCTTCTGGGTGAATGGGATGGCATCTCCATAACCAAACCAATTAGCCAGCTATGGGAAGACTCTCACCCGCAGCACCTCAGTCGCCTTTGCTCTGCGCTCCTCCCCTCATATTCACCCTCGCCCAGGCGCAACCCGACGTCCCGAACGCCCCAGTGCCCCTCTCCCGCCTCTCACTGCTGCTGGGCGAGTGGGACGGCTCCTCCATCACCCACCGATCAGCCATCTACGGGGAAACTGTCACCCGCAGCACCTCCAACTTCTTCCTCACTCGCTTTGAGGATGGAAGCCTGGGGCTGGTGAGTGCGAATCATGGGACTTACGTAGTATTAGCTTTCAACGACTGACCTGGAAACTGTCTCAAGGTGCGAAAGGAGGCTCAAGGTGCTGTGGGTGTCAGAATTTTAGCCCTTTCAACTGTCACTCGCAGCGCAGCACCTCCAGCTTCTTCCTCACTCGCTTTGAGGATGGAAGCCTGGGGCTGGTGAGTGCGAATCATGGGACTTACGTAGTATTAGCTTTCAACGACTGACCTGGAAACTGTCTCAAGGTGCGAAAGGAGGCTCAAGGTGCTGTGGGTGTCAGAATTTTAGCCCTTCAAACTGTCACTCGCAGCGCAGCACCTCCAGCTTCTTCCTCACTCGCTTTGAGGATGGAAGCCTGGGGCTGGTGAGTGCGAATCATGAGACTAATGTAGTATTAGCCTTCAAACTGTCTCTCGCGGTACCTCAAACGTCTTCGTCAGTCGCTTGGAGAGTACAAGCCAGGGGTTGGTGACTGCGCCTGCTTTTGAGTCGAGTCAAAGCAGGCTGGTGACTGCGTGGGAGATGTTTTCGAGAGTCGACTCAATAAGGTAAGAATCGCTCCTAGTGCGAATCCCTCTCGCTCCTCCCCCTTCTCACCCATGTCACTTCTCACCAGGAGGAGACGAGGGGAGGCCATGTCACTTCTCAAGCTGGCTGCATAACCTCGACAAGAGCTTTTTTTCTAACCGGGCTCCCCTAACTCTCTCCTAAACGAAATCTCGCCTTATGGGGTTTGTTTTGTTGTACTATCCTACTTGATGGAAATAAGGCCTCCGCAGCCCACCTGTAATCCATCTACGAATCCTCCCCCCTTCTCACCTATGCCACTTCTCACCAGGAGGAGACGAGGGGAGGCCTCTGTTTTTGCCGACGAGGGGCAGCTGCAAACCGCACACTCTATCACTTTTTGCCGTCTTGCACCCGCTCCCTTGTTGCACGTCCTCTTATTCCTCCCTCTCCCCCCTGTTCAACCATTGCCGCATGTCACTTCTTAATGGGAAGAGACGCAGGGAGACCTCTGCTTTTGCAGACGAGGGACAGTTGCAAACCATACATAGTTTCACCGATTCCCTTCTTGCTACCACTCCCTTGTTGCACTTCCTCTCTCCTCCCGCTCCCCCCCTGTTCACCTGTTCACGCATGTCGCTTCTTAACAGGAAGAGACACGAGGAGACGTCTGCTTCCGCCGGCGAGGGGCTGTTGCAAACCATACAGACGACTCACCCGAAACTGCAGGGATTGGTTCAACACAGCAGCAGCAGGAGCAGCAAGAGCACGAGCAGGAGCAGCAAGAGCACGAGCAGCAGCAGCAAGAGCACGAGCAGCAGCAGCAGGTGGGGGGGCGAGTGCTGCTAGACGGGGGGCAGCAGATCACCCTCCTCCCGGGGGGTCTCTCCCTCTCCGCACCCTGCTGCGTGCCCCGCGGCCGCGCCTTCTTCTTTGAAACCGTCCTGGCAGAGCCGGTTGCAGGAGAGGGGCTGGAGATGCCCCAAGGAGGAGAGGGGTGGCAGCGGCGGCGGGTGGTTCGGACGTACGATCCTGACGGTATGGTGGTATCGAGCTCGGTGTTTGCTGAGAGGAAGACTGTATGAAATGGCTGGGATAAGGATCATTGGATAAGGATCATTGGATAAGGATCATTGGACAAGGATCATTGGATAAGGATCATTGGACAAGGATATTTGGATAAGGATCATTGGACAAGGATTATTGGATAAGGATCATTGGACAAGGATCATTGTGTTAGAATACTAGAATGGTTGAAATAAGCAAGAACAAGGGAGATATAGGGTTGGGGTTGTACCCCCTAACGACAACCCTATCTAGCCTATAACTTCTACATAAAACATATGTATAAGTTGACACATCCCCTAGGCTAGATAAGGGGCAGGGCAAAACTAAAAACATGCAACTCAGGGTGGCACTACTAGTCGAACCTCTTAGGCAGGGGTCCGAAGACCAGTCAGCAAGAGTACAAACAAGACAAGAACACACCAGGGCGGCACTACTAGTCCAGCCATTGGAAGAGAAGCCACAAGGCCAGTCTGGTATCCGAATGAGAGAAGTGAATGATTGAGTAGTGGGAGAGTACAGATAGATATTCCTAAGTATTGTACCCTCTAAGAGGTGACCCTATATAGTCTATGCGAACATAACTAATACACATGTTTGACACACCCCCTAGACTGCATAGGGGAATGTCCTGAACAAGCAACTCAGGGCGGCACTACTAGTCCAACCTCTGAGACAAGGGTCTAAAAGACCAGTCAGAAGGAGTACAGACAAGTGAAGAACAAGATCAGGGCGGCACTACTAGTCCAGCCACTGGTAGAGGACACAAGTCCAGTCTGAGAATACATATAACAGGGCAGTACAAAGTCAAGGCCCTAGCAAGTGAGAGGCTACAGGGACTAGACCAAGCTGTACGCAGTGCCGCTGATGATCTTTAGGCGCAAGCGCCTTCGTAAAGATATCAGCTGTGTTGGCACCTGAGGCCAAGTGTACTACGCGAGCCTGGCGTCGCTGCTGTAGCTCGCGCATGAGGAAGTATCGCAGCTGAATATGCTTCGCTCTGCCCTCGAGTCGAGGCTCCTGACACAGGAGGATCATGGCCCTGTTGTCAGCGAACAGGACCGGGGCAGAGCTAGGCCGCTCACCTAAGTCAGTGAGCAAGAAGGTCAGCCAGCGGAGCTCCTGTGCCGCCATGGCACCAGCGTAGATCTCGGCCTCACAGCTGGACTGGGCAACAGACGAGGAGCGGGTAGCTCTCCACGAGACGGCACCTGAGCCAAGGCTGAAGCAGTAGCCCTGGGTAGACCTGAGTGTCTCGGCGTCGTCTGCCCACGAAGCGTCTGTGTGTCCAGTAAGGACCACTGGCCTGCGTCCTCCTAGCACTAACCCCATGCCCGATGTACTAGCAAGATAACGCAAAACCCTCTTAGCGGCAGACCAGTGCTGTGGTCGGTGTCTGCCTGGGGCCACAAAGCGAGCCAGGATGCTGAGAGGGTATGCGAGATCTGGGCGAGTGCAAGTCATTAGGTACATGAGGCAACCCACCAGCTCTGCGTAGGGGCCGCTGGGCTCAACCGACTCCTCAGACACTGGAGCGGAGAGTCTGTGGTCTACAGGCAGAGGGGTGGGCTGTGCAGAGGAGAACTGAAGGCTGAACCTCTGAAGGACCTGGCGCACCAAGTGTGACTGAGTCAGGGTGATGGTGCGCGCTGCTCTGTCCCTAGAGATCTGCAAGCCAAGGTAACGGCGCAGTTCTCCAAGGTTAGTGCACGTGTGTCTCTTCAGCAGCTCTGCCTTCACGGAGGCCAGTGCGTCCCTGTCTGCTGTGGCAAAGACCAGATTGTCAACGTAAACCAGGATGTAGAACAGAGTCTGGCCAGCACGAACGAAGAGTGAAGGGTCTGCGGAGACGGAAAGAACTGCAGGTCAGCAAGCGTAGCACGGAGAGTGTCGTGCCACTCACGGGGAGCCTGGCGCAGGCCGTAGACGGGGCGCCGCAGGAGCCACTGGGTCCAAGGAGGGAAGGTGCCAGTAAAGCCCTGAGGGTGACGCAAGTAGACCTGCTCGTGTAGGCTGCCCTGAAGGAAGGCAGTGGAGAAGTCGAGGGAGTGAAGCTCGTAGTCGCGCTGAGCAGCTAGGTGTAGCAGAACCGGGAGAGTAGTCATCTTCGGGGTCGGAGCGAAGGTCTGGAAGAAGTCCACCCCCTCACGCTGATTGAAGCCTCTAGCCACGTAGCGCGCCTTGAACACATGCGGCTCTCCAGGAGGGCGCTTCACCTTGAAGAGCCATTGGCCATCGATTACGTTCACCCCAGGCGGGGGAACTGCGTCGACGAAGATGCCGGTGGATCTCCAAGATGCCATCTCCTGCTCCATGGCAGCTATCCACTGAGAGGCCCAAGGTCCGGAGGTCGCCTTAGCGTAAGTGCGAGGGTTCGGGATGTCGAAAGCGTCTGGGTCACCCTCAGGGACTAGCAGCATGGAACAGAGATGGGGAGCAGCCTCAGACAGGAAAGCAAGCTCGAACTGGCGGTCCTCCAGGACGTCACTGCCAAGGGCAGGAGCACCCCCGACAGACGGAGGACAGGCAGGGTCAGAGACCAGAGCTGTGGCGTAGTCAAGGCGGCGGGTAGAGGCGAAGTCAGCGACCGCAGCTACAAGAGCGTCAAGGCACGAGACCGGAACAGACGGGTCGGTAACGAGAGAGGCAAGGACTCGGGGAACAAGAGGACGAGCGGCACGAAGGTAGTCAGACAGCGGGGGGGGGGGGGGGGGGGGGGAGAACCGTACCAGGAAGGATGAAGGGGCCGGGGCAGGGATGAGCGCAGGGGCCGGGCCGGTGCAGCGGGGCCCGGCAAACGTGGCGGGGCCGGGCAGGGCGCAACGGGGCCAGGCAGGTGCGACGGGGACGGGCCGGTGCAACGGGGCCGGGCGGGTGCGACGGGGCCGGGCCGGCGCGACGGGACCGGGCAGGTGCGACGGGGCCGGGCGGGTGCGACGGGGCCGGGCAGGTGCGACGGGGCTGGGCAGGGCGCAACGGGGCCGGGCGGGTGCGACGGGGCCGGGCGGGTGCGACGGGGCCGGGCCGGTGCGACAGAGCCGGGCGAGGGTGACGGGGCCGGGCGGGCGTGACGGGGCCAGGCGGGTGCTACGGGGCCGGGCGGGTGCGACGTCTCCGGGCCGGTGCGACGGGGCCGGGCGGGCGCGACTGGGCCGTACGGGTGCGACGGGGCCGGGCGGCGGCGACGGGGCCGGGCAGGGTGCGACGGGGCCGGGCGGGTGCGACGGGGCCGGGCAGGTGCGACGGGGCCAGGCGGGTGCGACGGGGCCGGGCGGTTGCGACGGGGCCGGACGGGTGCGACGGGGCCGGGCGGCGGCGACGGGGCCGGGCAGGGTGCGACGGGGCCGGGCGAGTGCGACGGGGCCGGGCAGGTGCGACGGTGCCGGGCGGGCGCGACGGGGCCGGGCAGGGGGGCAACGGGGCCTGCAGGCGTGGCGGGGCCCAGGAGGGGCGCTACGGGGCCCAGGAGGGGCGCTACAGGGCGAGGGGCGTAGCGGGGCCCTGGAGGGTCGCGACGGGGCTAGGGAGTCACGACGGGGCCCAGGAGGGAGTCCCGCAGCTGGATGTGCTTCGCTCTGCCCTCAAGTCGAGGCTCCTTACACAAGAGGATCATGGCCGTGTTGTCACCGTACAGGACCGGGGCAGAGCTAGGCCGCTCACCTAAGTCGGTGAGCAAGAAGGTCAGCCAGAGGAACTCCTGTGCCGCCATGGCACCGGCGTAGATCTGCTCAGGGTGGCACTACTATTCCAACCTCTGAGGCAGGGGACCGAATACCAGTCAGCAAGAGTAGAAGCAAGATAGAGCAAACCAAGGCGGCACTAATAGTCCAACCAGCGGAGGAAAGGGCACAAGGCCAGTCTGCAAGGCATAAATAGAAAGGAGTACACAATCAAGGGCCTAGCAAGTGAGAGTCAACAAGGACTAGACCTAACTGCAAGCAGTGCCGCTGATGATCTCTAGGCAAAAGCGCCTTAGTAAAGATATCAGCTGTGTTGGTACCGGAGGCCAAGTGTACTACGGGGGCCTGGCGACGCTGCTGAAGCTCGCGCATGAGGAAGTACCGCAGCTGGATGTGCTTTGCTCTGCCCTCAAGTCGAGGCTCCTGACACAGGAGGATCATGGCCCTGTTGTCAGCGTACAGAACCGGGGCAGAGCTGGACCGCTCACCTAAGTCAGCAAGGAAGAAGGTCAGCTAGCGGAGCTCCTATGCCGCCATGGCACCGGCATAGATCTCAACCTCACAGCTAGACTGAGCAACAGACGAGGAGCGAGTGGACCTCCATGAGATGGCACTAGAACCAAGGCTGAAGCAGTAGCCTTGGGAGGACCGGAGGGTCTCAGCATCGTCTACCCAAGAAGCGTCTGTGTGCCCAGTAAGGAGGACTGGCCTGCGTCCTCCCAGCACTAGCCATTGGGCTCTGCTGAATCCTTGGGAACTAAAGCTGAAAGCCTGTGGTCTATCGGCAGAGGTGTGGGCTGTGCGGAGGAGAACTCAAGGCCAAACCTCTGAAGGACCTGGCGCACCAAGTGTGACTGTGTAAGAGTGATGGTACGCGCCGCTCTGTCCCTGGAGATCTGCAAGCGACGGTAGCAGCGCAACTCTCCCAGGTCAGTGCAGGTGTGTCGCCTCAGCAGCTCAGCCTTTACGGAGGCCAGCGCTTCTCTGTCTGCTGTAGTAGAGACCAGGTCGTCTACGTAGACCAGGATGTAGAACTCAATCTGGCCAGCACGAACGAAGAGCGAAGGGTCAGCAGAGGACGAAAAGAACTACAGGCCAGCTAGCGTGGCACGCAGCATGTCGTGCCATTCACGGGGCGCCTGTCGCAAGCCGTAGACGGGGCGCCGGAGGAGCCACTGGGTCCCAGGAGGGAAAGTACCGGTGAAGCCCTGAGGGCGGCGCAGGTAGACCTGCTCGTGTAGACTGCCTTGGAGGAAAGCTGTGGAGAAGTCGAGTGAGTGCAACTCGTAGACACGCTGTGCTGCTACGTGAAGTAGCACCCGAAGAGTAGTCATCTTCAGGGTCAGGGCGAAGGTCTGAAAGAAGTCCACCCCCTCTTGCTGACTGAAGCCTCTAGCCACGTAGCGCGGCTTGAAGACAGGCGGCTCTCCAGTGGGACGCTTCACCTTGATGAACCACTGGCCATCGACTACGTTCACCCCAGGTGGAGGAACTAAGTCGACGTAGGTGCCAGTAGCCCTTCAAGATTTCATCTCCT